GAATCGAGTAATTTAATAGACAATTTCGTGCCAAAGGAGAACTAAATCTCAAACGAACATGAGCATGTCGAAAATTGTAATGGGACAAGTGAGTATGTAGTTCGTACCTCAGAGCTGGTAGAACCTGCTCTCTGCGAAAAGTCGTATCGTTAACATTGGCTAAGGATGGTATAAGACGGGTCATATAGCAACTGACCTCATCCGCGAAATCAAGTTCCCCATCCGACCACCACCACTAAGTTGATGTCCCTAGTCTTGAATATGATTTTTTTACCCGCAAAATTGATGGCTTCAATCGCGAAAAAGATTTCTGAAAGGCGTAGTAGTTATTTGCGGTCAGCAGTGACAATACAGTCTACCACAACTCCACTGTAGCAGTTTAATCAGCTCATAGTGTGTTAATCAGCTACGTTGTGTTGCAGCGTTCAACATTTTTGAGGATCACGACCGCATGCCAGTGTATTCACGATGCTCTTACGCATTTCCCCTTTGATAAGAATAATAATAAAAACGTGTTTCTCTACTATTACTGCTCGTGTTTGTCCAGATTGTAACATATATCGACATGATCGTTAGAAGTGATGTGGGACTCAAAATGGGTGTCCATGGTCGTCATGATAGATCTAGATTGGTTAGTTCATGTTGTTGTTAAATCACCTCTCGGGTTCCCCTTCATCTCATCATCCTAACCACGGCTCGAGTGTAGGGACAACCTTTTTTGGTGAGGAGTGCTAAATGATAATAGTGGACAGGCCACCCGTCTTATCACTGCTGTTATCTACCATTCCTGTGCGTCTAAAACTATCCACTCTGTGGCAACATGAATGAGCATCCGATACGAGGACGAGGAATCCTCAGGTGTATCGCGCAACTCATCACGTTATCGTCACCGTCATCATCGACATCGACATCATCATCATCGCCATCACCATCATCATCATCGTAGATCCAAAGACCTCCAATGTGCGTCCACTATGAGCCTTTATCATCTGCGCATGCTTCCCTATTGATAGTACCCGTATTCCTAGTGCCCACCCCCGGCGCTGGCACCTCTGGAGGAGCACTGGGAGGTGGCTTCCCTTACCTCAGCCCTCCAATCATTCAGGTCAGCACATTGGTACCATACCTCGAGTCGGGGGGGTTGTCAGGTCCCTCAAGTCATTCCCGGCCACGGCTCGATGGGTATGCTGGAATCTAGTGTCCATCAGCAGTTACTGATGACCATGTGTGGGCAGCATCGTATAGGGTGGGGTGGATTACGATGTTGTGAACTATCGTCAGTCGAAGCATTTCTTTGATCTCTCCTTGTCGCGTCTGATCCAGGGGTCAACTCAGGGCAATGTAAATAGTCTTTTACAATTAAATTGCGGTATATATTACTAAAATATATACTCATATATTGGTGGTATTAGGAGGCGACTCATTGAGTGGTATATATTACTCAATAAATTACCTGCGGTCGTATACTCCTAACCGGGAGGGACCGTGAATCGTTTGAAAGGGAACTAGTCTACATAGTCATCTTGGCGCGGTAGGTGTTGCACGGGACTGCGGACAGGGCGCTAAGTACGGTCGGTATTGCAGATGTAAGGCGTGAGCTAATTTCGATGCTCTAACACGGCAACCGCGTGGGAGCATGCAAAGTACAGGATGTGGATGTGGACTACATGGCACGACCTTCGGGCGTTCGTTCCGCGCGAACAGTATTTCCATACCGCTCGCTATTCTATACGGAATTTCCTTCTATTCCTTCTTTTCTTCATTGCTCGAAAGTCATTGAATTCCGAGATGATAATGCATCATGATCCTGGAAATTATGCGGGGCTGTCATCCTTGCTCCAAGGCTATTCCCATCGATCCAGTTAGAGTTATTATGCACACTATCAGTCCAGCCGTCCTCATCAGCTTACTAGTACTAGGCTATCCTATAGCTCAGGCCACCAACCCATGCCATGTTATATGGATCACTCATGAGGATGACAACTTTCTAGCGGACATATATCGTGTAATCACTGACTACCGATCTGCCCGTGAACCCCCGCTGCTTTAGGAAATCCAACAGGGAACGGATACATCCGACTTTATCCAAGAGCCCTGCCAAGGCTCCAATCCTAAACTTACCGAAATCGTCCTCCCTGCGAATTGGTGCACCCCAGCTGCCGCGGTAAGTCCAGTCCGACATCGTCGTCGTGTTCAGGGGGGGAGAATCTACTCAAGACCTCGAGACTAGACGGATAAAGATTGAGCGGACCATCTATGAAGCAACAAAGGAGGCACCCCTATCGCACATATTCCTCGGTGGTATCGGCAAGGCTGCGGGTCTAGCGATGCATGCAGCGTAGGAATACTATGACTGAGAAGAATCGTCCACCACAATCGTTCCGCAGTCTTTTCTTCCCCTTCGAGCTCGCCGGAGTTATTGCCGTCCATCCGAGTATACTTCCAGTTACCAAGGACCTATTGGCAATGGCAGAGAGCAAAGATTCGATTATCACACATGTTTGGGGTCCGACCAAAGTGTATGCGTATTACATCCCAAAAGAACCCAAACTGTCAAGCAAATGGAACCCTATAGAAGTACGTCGATGAATCACGGAAACCATGTGTTCTGTTTCTGGTCAGATTATGGACATCGGAAAGTACGGTGGACGCGTCGAGTTGGAAGCTTATCATCCCGGAAATATCCGAAACTTGATTATGGAGCAGTTTAGTCGTCCGGGGCTGTCTATCATCATCGTATCCAGCAGAAAGCAAGCTCCTTACCATCCTAACTTCATCAAGGAGCTCAAGGAGGCACTGAAGGGCAAAAGCAGCATTTCGTTACGGTGCGGTAATGAATTCCTTTACAAAATGCTCCAGTACGATGGACGTGATGATGATGACGACTACAATACTCTGTTCCGCGGGTGAGGTCCGAGGTCGGTCAACCTGAGTTCACTAGGTTTGAATTCTCAGGACTTCTCCAAGATTGAACTATATGGACCAAGACTGCCGAAAACTTGCGAGTATGATCCAAGCATCCCGAGACCAGGAGATACCAGCAAGCCGTATATTCATATTCTCCCAAGGCCAGGGAAGAGATCTTTCGGACACTTGCGCGTGCGTCTCGATAAGCTCATTTGCGTGCATTGTTGGTGTTCTAGGACGCTAATGCCTGTTACATTCCGGAATATACCAACATTTGAAGTTACCTCCCCTGAGACTAATTGGGAAAAGGAAGATGGGAAAGCCGTGGTATGGGCGCCGAGTGCTCCGCCAACATCGATAGCCTTGCTCCGTAGGCTGGGAGCCTAGCCCGGAAGATAGAAAGAGAGCTTACAGCCGATCATAAGCATCGTACAGTTGTATTCGCTCATCGGAGCCCACAAGCCGCAATGAAACGCAAGGCTTTGGAGTCTAAGGTAATCACAACTTGGCCTTCCGGTGAGGCTCCTTGTGGTGACAGGTGCATCAAGAGATTCGAATTAAAGGCGACACCTACACGAAGTTCATCAGCTTGATAATTCCACAGATGAAGTAGGAATGGATAAGCTCGATCGGAGACGACTAGCATGGCCTTCTGCTAGTCCCGACCAACCGTCGTTCTCATGGATGGACATGATGTATGAAGTACTGAATCTTATGAAAATCCGGTCCGCGTCGGTATTTCTGGTGGCCGAACTGTCCTCTGTAGATGCTGCTACAATAGGGTAGGTGGCCTCTGGGTAAGGTACTCAATGAATTCTCTGACTTTGTAGGGTAATGAGCGACCTTCGAGGCAACCTGTTCTATCATGTCGGAGAGGATTCCAAGCTACAGTTCTGCCCTTCCCAATATAACCTCAAATGTATCAGTTATCCGACTGAGTCGGAGGTAGGAGCACACCTCAGCGAGCATTCGTCATTGTGATGCTCTCTCTCTGTAGTTGGCGAAAAAACTACCAAAAATTATCGCGGGATTTGTGGATCCGTCTCGGGCGAGAACTGAGGAGATGCCCAAAGACATCACAACGCTTGATGTGCGCATCCTGATTGGTGTCGCGATTCACATCAGTTCACGACTCAGGTTCTAGGTAAGCTGCGAGCTTTTGAGAATGACTAATGATGATATCCATCATGATGTTCGCTGTGGGATGTTAATGTGTATTTAGTGAGTTGAATTGAGTAGTTTATTGGAATGGTAGATCTTGGCAACTGAATAGTGTAAATACGACGCCTCGCGAGCATGTAACCGTGAAGGGTTGGTCATTTCAACTACCGTCCCTGTGATGGACGATACAACCAAGGAATTGGTTTGATCATAACATGCTGTGTAATAAAGAAACATGATGAAGACATTCCGACCATCCTCATGTACATTAATACCGCCATCGTGGAATCAAGGCGGCATACTGTGTATCCGGTGACCGGATGGGCCATGCTGGGCAATCAGGAATATCTCACCATCATTGATTGGTCGGATGGTTTTTTGGAAACAAGTCAGGTAAGAAATCAAAGGATGATTCATCGATCATTAACACGAATTCGAAGTGCTGTTAGCTTGAGACGAGCGGTAACTTGCAAGAATTGCAAGTAACTCATTCGGCCACATGCCGAGCTAGTCCATCGTGTGTTTCCCAACCTACAACTGCGAGCATTCGGATTGACGAACATGTAGCGTTCAGTCGAGTATGCGAGAAACTTATGCAATAGAGCCTTTGCAGTAGTAATTCGATGACTGGGGTCTTTCCGAAGGAGCCCCTCAAGGAGATTCCGAGCAGCTTCAGGGATTCCACTCGGCACTTGTAAGGGATCGTTTAGAATTGACAGTTGCAGTGTGAGGTTGCTACTCGGAGTCGACTCTTGACCAGTAGGTCTCCATGGCAGTCTACCTGAGATGAGATCGATCAGGTATCCGGAAGTACTGAGTTCTGACCTGTCATCATCGTAAAGAAAGTAACTCCAACACTCCACACATCTCGTGCTTTCCCGCATAGCCCTCCAGTAACTGGGTCTGAGTGACAGGAATGCTAGCCTCATTAGAACCAGAATAAATTCACCAACATACCCTTTCCGAAGAAAACTTCTGGAGGGGAGAACGCTGTTGTGCCCAAGGCATCGTATATCTCCATATCGCGTGGATCTGCTTTAATTACTGCCGTATTGAAGTCACATAAAGTAAGATGCGGTATTGAGCCAGTGGAGGAGGAGGATGACCTACAATGACCATCGAGCCAGACATAGTTGTGAGGTAGCTCGCGAATCGCAATACTCCCAGGTTGCCGTACGTCAGGTCGTTCCCTTCTTCATGTTCTTCCGCATCCCTGAGACCCCAGGACCAATCATCCCCACGAAGCAGTATATTATCAGGCTTGATGTCTTTGTGGACGATACCAACTGAGAGGATCATCATGATGATGATAGCCATTAAAAGTGGTCACTATTTACTCGAATGTAGCTCGGACACAGCTGATAGGAGCTGCCGGACCAACCCAGGTATCAGAGCCTTGCTAGCGTCATACACCATGGTAGAGGACCCACCTAACCCAAGAGGAATTTGTCATGGCTTGGCCCTAATGGGACTCAACTGGGAATATCTCGAGGCTGGCTGCTCGTGTTAGCGACATAGTCCAGGGGCCTACCATAGGCGTACTGCATTATTTGGCATCCACCGTACTCGAATGCAAGTATGATGCGATCCTCTGTTGGAGAGGACAACACCTCATGCAGAGATATCTGAGGATGAAGAGACGCTACGTGCCGGGATCGATCCTGGGACCTCGGGATCACAAAACAACCGCTCTTCCTACAACGTTAGAAACCTGCTTCTCCTTAAGTTTCTCCAGAATACATATCTCATCCTCAATCACACGCGTTCCCGAGACCAGAGAGACCGATCTGATACAAGCTCAACTACAAGGACTTCATAGGACCCCAGTACTCACCCTCCCTTGCCATAGATCGGCAACCGCTGGCGAGCCATAGTCGCCCTGGAGTACTGTTTGATGACCATCCTCCGAGTAGGATTACCACGCCGAACTAAGAAGCATGTCTTAACCTAAACGGCATGAGCTGCCTATGACACACCATGAAGGATACTACCTTCTGGCCGTAGATTCCCGTGTGTATCTTGTGGAATCCTCTGTAGTTGTTAATTCTCTTGGACCCTGCCTCCCTATTTCTCTTCACCAGCCACATTCTCGAACGCTTCACCTTCGCTCCGCTCCACTGCTCACGTCCTGAGCGTGCAGCTGACTCTACCATGACTGAGCCAATCTGATTGATGCTCGTATGTCCCCCATGACCTCGAGCGTGCCGGCGACCGACCAGGACCTCCCTCCCTCAACTGTCTAACTCAACCCCCATTCAACGCTAATGAAAGGAATGAAATCGTTGCAACAGTACATGGTTCAGAAGGTCGATATACTCACGATTAAATGCCACGAATTCTCTATCGCCTCGTATGAGCCTCCGATGAACCTCCACCCACGGCATCCACTCCGCCTCAGTAACTTCTGCTGGGTCGAGTTGTAGCTGCTGCAGACGACCTCGCCAGGGGTATATCGCTATGTGCTTGAGTCTGAATGCAAAGCCCTGACATGCATACTCCGCCTCCCTCTGTGAGTTACTCCCGATCTATATATCCAGATCCTCGGGCCTCGGTGGCTACCACGCCGACCTCCTCAAGGTCTGAAGGCTTGACAGACACGCCCAGCTCCTCTCGTACTTCCCTCACTGCTGATGCCATCACCTGATTCATGGCTAGACAGACCAGTCCAGTACGGTCGTATTACATAATCGTAGCCCGCCACGTGACCACCAACGGATACATCCCATCGAGCAGGGTTCGTATCCTTAAGAAGGCTCCTCCTCTGCACCAAAACTTCCCCTAAAGTCGACCAATCGAGGAAGGGGTCGGCGTTCCACTGCGTTTTACTCTTGTCCGGGTGATAAAACCATATATGGACACTGCGGTGCCAGAGGCCTTGAGCATGGCACTCAGCTCTACTCCGCAACTGACCCGTCCCTCGGCATACCTCTTCTGACCACGAACCAAGGGCTACGACACTTCCTACTCGCCGTCTACGGCACAACATAAACTGCTCGTGTGGATCCTGCCATACGCTGATACTCACTCTTAAGAAATGATATCCCTTCCTCACCTGACCACCGCCCACCTCGTGCGGCGAACCTTTCCGACTCGGCACATTGAGAATAGACTCCCAGGCCCTCGTGGGCACAGTAGAGAGAACGAGGGAATAGATGAGCCCAAGAGGCCTCATCAACCAACCCTTCGAATACTCTGATATAACCACTTACAACTCAAGAGCATGACAATGATCGGAAGCAACAGTCGATGCCGCAGTTGGAAAGGGCAGGAATGCGGACCATCGACGATGACCGCTACGATCGTTATAGAAGAGTAACAGTTGACGTGGTAGAGTGGTAGACACGATGATAAGGATGGAAGGGGACTACGACCCAGATGAGGAGCCAATATTGGTAAGATTCCATTCATATCATCACTACTACACTGTAGCGAACAGCAATGTGAGCATCTACTCAGAGCTGTGCTTCTTCGACTTCTTATGCTTATGCTTCTTCTTAGGAGCCTCCTAAGATGAACACCATCACAACACTAACTACAACATGATAACCCCTCTCACCTCTTCCTCGGGTTCGGCTACCTCCTCGACCTCCTCCTCCACTTCAGCATGCTTACGCTTCTTCTCCTTCTTGGCCTTCTTATCCTTCTTAGCCTTCTTCTCCACAACAACTTCCTCCTCCTCCTCCTCATCAGCGGCAGCAGCTTCAACAGCCTCCTTGTCGTTCTCTTGAATCTCCTCAACCTCCTTCATGGCCTCACGCATAACCTAAGGCGAATCCCCATCATTCTTGGACTTTCTTTCACCCGTGGCTCACATCAACGTTCCTCTTGGGCTTAACTCCCTCAGTAGTGAGATATCTCAGCCTCTCTTCGACCTGATCCCGCATCTTCTCACCGAATACAGTGCAACTACAACATCAGCAAAGCCAACAGTCCATGTTCGACATCATAACCTCCAACAGCCTTACGATTCGCTGCTTCCTGCGGGTTGGTCCGAGAAGCAATCGATACGGGAAGCAAGGGAGCACTTGTTGGCGAGATACCTGATGCCACCACCGAGGGAAGGAATCCTTCGCTGTGCGCACACCGCCTCAAGTAGTGTACATACCTAGATATCCGTCCCTTGTTCTTCTGGGCAGCCTTACCGATGAAGCTAGAGTTATAGATTAGACCATACTTAGGGGTGTTACCCTTAGTCTTGAGGGCGCGGAAAAGAGCCTTCTCAGCACCCAGGATTTGAACGGTAGAGGCAGGGTACTTGGCCTACGACAGAAACCCTAGATTCGTGTGAAAGAGGCTTCAAACATCACTTCGACGATGTTTCTATAGAAGGAGCCGACACGTATTGCGTTATACTAAGTGAGGCATCCCCGGCTCAGCTTTTGCTTTGCTCATTAAACTTATTGCATCAAGAATCTATTACTAGCCATCATCGCCTAGGGAGCTGTATTATCAATACGACATACCAGATTCGTGAGAGAGCCAGCATGAGAGATTAGCCTGGCACCAACAGTGTCGCCAATGAGAGCAGCGAGGTTGGGTGCAACGACGTCCATCTTGCCGTGGAGGTAATCCGTGAGGTTACGACGCATCTCAGATAGAGAAATGACCTGCTCATGTGATAGTGACAAGTCTGGAACAGAATTATTCCCCGTTCACCTGCTTGGCAAAGTGCTCGATGTTGGCCATGTCCATCTCGACGATATCCTGACCCATAGAGGTACGACAGGCCTTCTCAAGCTCCTTGGCAGTCTCCTCGTCACCACCGCAGGCCTCTACAACCTGAGGGGAAAGAAGTAAAAGTGATGGAGAGGAGGAAAAGGGGATACCTCATCCATCCTGTTGTCCCAGTCGAAGTCGTCCTTCAGCCTTATAAGGCAGGCCAGCTTGGCGAAGACCTCGTTATCAGTGACGATCTTAGCCATCTCGGGGAAGTGCCACGAGTACCTTACATTATACACCCACCCTCAATAGTGACCATCACCGCTATCACCACGACTTACCACTCCCTCACACGCATAGCAAAGGTGTTGATGTTCTTATCGAGGCCATCGAGGATAGCGATGGCGTTGATGATGGGCTTATCCTGACGGTTCGGGTCGAACTGCATCTTATTACGGGAATAAGCATGGCCTAGACCGCACCTACAGGGACGTTATGGGAAACTTAAGAGGAAGAGTCTCTGCCTACCTGGCCTTGTCGAGATCGGACTCGTCCATCTTCACCATCTTAGCTACGTGTTGGCGGCATCCACGAAGCATGTCACGTACAGACTGGGAGTAGGTGACCTGATAGTAGGTGATGTACGATGAGGGAATGGTGTGGTAAGGACACACCTGGAAGCCGAGCTCGTTGAGAGAGTCGCCGAGCTTGGGATCGGCAACGCCCAACTTGTAGGCAGGGGCTGCCTTCTTCTTCTTTTTGCTCTGCGTGGTCAAGTTCATCGAGAGGAAGTTCTTCAACTCCTCAGTGCACTCGCCTAAGGACCACCAAAGTGAGCAGACTAGTATGTGGTGACACGTGGTACTACCAGCAACAATGGCGTTGATGTTGGACAAGGCGACCTCGGCAGAGGTGAAGGGAAGGAAGCCTCGGAGCTTCACCAGGCTACAAACCAGAAACACTCAGGCCGCCACTCTTCCAATGACGTTATTATCGATCGCGATTGGCCCTCTATTAGGCGGGCCCATTACGAGCAGCCGATTCCTCTATGAATCCCTAGAGGGCTCACCTCATGAAGTCCTTGAGATTCTCAGTCTGTGCAGCACCATCATCGATGTTTCCAAGCTCATCGTACTGGTCACGTACGAATAGAGCGTAGCCCGATGCTGTCTCGAGCAGTAAGTAGAGGTCGATGCTCATGGTCAACTGTATAGGGGGAAAGCAGCTATTGACAGGCTGGAGCAAGGTCAGCTTCGCTCCGCGATTTTCGAATCTCGCTCGCCCAAAGGGCTGTGAGTTTGATCGATAAACACCTTTCCTTCACCTCTCAAGCGTAGTCGGCCTGCCCAGCCACCATGAAGATCAATATCGCTAACCCCAGCACTGGATTGCAGAAGTGCATCGATATCGATGATGACAAGAAGCTCTTGCCTTTCTTCGATAAGCGTAAGTGGGGATTCGTGCTCGCTTCGTCCAATGCTCGGGTCTTCTCTTCTTGTGAATCACCATTCTTGTGTATAAAGACAGTAGTCGGCCACTAGAGTATTTTGCTTGTAGGTATCTCCGCTGAAGTCTCTGGTGAGTCTCTTGGTGAGGAGTTCCAGGGATACATCTTCCGTATCTCTGGCGGTAACGATAAGCAGGGTTTCCCTATGAAGCAGGGTGTCTTGGTAGTAAGGGTCTTCTTATGCTCTTTGGGTTCAATAATCGACTTGGCTTTCTCTCCGATCGGAGCTTACTTGTTCTCTTCCTTTTTCAGACCAACAACCGTGTAAGGCTCCTTTTCCAGAAGGGTATGTCTTGCTACCGCCCTCGTCGTGCCGGTGAGCGCAAGCGCAAGTCCGTCCGTGGCTGCATCGTTGGCCAGGACCTTGCTGTCCTCAACCTCGTCCTCGTCAAGAAGGGCGATGTAAGCTACTCCTATAATCAATTTGAAATACTTTCTCAACTCCATTTGTTCAGGCCGAGATTGCCGGTTTGACCGACGATAGCAGGCCTCGTCGCCTTGGACCTAAGAGGGCCAACCATATTCGCAAGCTCTTCGGCCTTACTAAGGAGGATGATATCCGCAAGTTCGTTGTCCGCAGGGACACTGGCCGCAAGACCAAGGCCCCCAAGATCCAGCGTTTGATCACTCCCCAGACCCTGCAGCGCAAGAGGCACATCCGCAACACCACCATCAAGAAGGTCCTCCAGTCTCGTGAGGAGGCTGCTAAGTACCAAGTCAGACTGGCTGAGTACCACAACGAGCAGCGTGCTAAGTGGGCCTCTGAGCTTGCCAAGAAGAAGGCGGTGAAGGCCAAGAGAGCTTAAGGCTGATTGAATCCACTACTACTATAGCAGGGGGATGACGTTATGCTTCAAGTTGGCCGGCACGACACTGAGCTTGTTATAGGGTTGAGTTCATTACAGTGGTCACGGTTGGTTATGATAATCACCTAGGATTGACTTTTTCCTCGATGTCGAGCGTCACTGCTTTACAACAGATTTTCGCTTTAGCGCGGGTTAGGGGAGTTACTCCTTGCCTTGCTGCAGTGGGACAGAGAGCTTTTTTCAGTCAAGCATCGAAGGCTTCTAGGGCGGGAGAGAATGCTAAGTAGTTGGCGATGAACTATAATTTCTCGCTACCGATTCGGTTAGGGATGTTGAAGGATCTGCGAGTGAGACTGATCCCTCCACCGCTAGGGATGCCCCTGAGAAGGAGGCGAAAACGACTCCCACAGGAGAGGCTGCAGCCGCTGAGACCCCCAAGAAAGAGGCCGCTCCTGAGGTTGTGTCTGCGGAAGATGCCGAAAAGATAACGCAGATTCAACAGAAAATCGCCGTTGTAGGGAAGACGAGTTCGGTAGTGGTTCGAGATGGCTGTGATGCTTAGATTGATGAAAAAACTCACGACATCAAGGAGAAGATACATGCATGCAAGCAGGATTCCCACCAGGCTACTAAGAGATACCATCAGAATGTAGGCCCTATGCGGCAAGCTCCTTGGGGTGCAACTCTCTGTCTCTGGTGCAGATGGAGAATGCCTCGAAGTATGCTATAAACAAGATGGCTAAAGACATGCTAGACGTAGCTGACAACATTGATAGGGCCAAGGCATCGATAACTGATGGTGAGCTGCTCAATATAGGGGGATTGGTGCCGCCAACGAGGGGTTGGTAGTTGTAAAAATGGTCTATAGTTTTTAGGGTGTAGATGTGTTCAGCATTCTCATCAGATTCTGTTCCTGTCTTTCAGAGGATCGTAGTCAATGTAAAGACCTCGCCGCCATATATGCTAAGATCAACGAAGCTGACACTATACTTCAGAAGATATTCGCGGATAATGGTATAGCCAAGGAGGACCCTATGGGGCAATCATTCGATCCCAATAGGCATGAGGTCGGCCTCCACCAGTGTGTTTGTATGGGTAGCCTCCCTGGCATCAGGCATTGTTCGAGTTCCCCTTCGCTGACAAGGAGACTGGCGAGGTGGCTCATGTGGTTCAGCCAGGTTATAAGATCCACGATAGGGTGAGTTCACGTATCCATGCTGTGAGTGATAGAATGCCTTCTCAGATACTGCGTGCTGCCAAGGTTGGAGTTGTCCGGAACCCGTGATCATAGATCCAATCAGAAGTTGATTTTCCTGAACACATTGCAAGTGATTGTTTCCGAGATTATTCTTATTGCGTCGGACAGTGTCTACTCCTCAATGAGGTGTGTTATGTCGCTCCCTGATGCCCCTTTCTTCCTAGTAAAAGGCTCATCTCAGCATCTGCATAGGTTGCGGCCACATCGTATTGAGAGTGCGGGCAAAAGCAGATACCGCAAGCAGAGGACTGTAGTATCCTCGTACCGTTACAGTTCAGACGATCACTTCATTCAGGTGAATGTTCGCCAGCCAAAGACTTCTCGTGTCGAGGCTCCGAGTGCGGCAGTCGAGGTTGGCTCTCGTGTTGATACTATGTTGCCACTCCGGGCACGGAAACTCGTCAATGAACGTCTTAGTTGTAGGTGGTCTCGTGACTCCTTATTTCCCATTGCTCTTTGGCTTGTCATGCCAGCGATAGATGCCACACCGCGGCCTGGTAGTGTGGACCCGGATGGGAGGAACCATGCTGCAGTAATTCAGCAACGACAGTCAGTCTCAAGAGAGGCTGTCCCTGCACCCGCAGAGGTCATGTCGGACAGCAGCGATTCCAGCGGAGATGAGCTCTATAAGAAATACACGAAACGACGAAGGGAAATGGTCGTAGCAAAAGAGAGGACTCGAGGCTGTGGTGACCGTCGTGTTGAGCAGCCAGTCATCACTATAAAGCCGTGGGAGCGGTGGGATACTACAGTGCCCGTATATAGTATGATACAAGGCATCAGTGACCGCGGTCCTATAGTGAAGTGTAGGGGTAGTAAACCCCATACGATGGGTAGAAGAACGGTGTGTCAATTCGATGAGGAATGAAAACGGACATGAATACTTATCTCGTATGATCCTCATGTTGTGTTCTTGTTCACTTCCCACAACGCGAGACATTAGTTTACATGAAATGTGTGGAATTCGGAATTTAAATATTCAAACACTAGTGGGTGATGGCAGTATACATAATTCACGTTTGACGTACCTAAAAGGACAATCACCGAGGGTCCTGTTGAGAGGAGGTTTACTCAGTAAGGAGGGCTCGGTAGATGTCCCGGAATGTCGGTCGCTGTAACGGCTGTCTGCTTATACACTGTAGACAGAGATTGCACAAGAAGGGGTCAGCGGTTGGAGGGAACTTCACAACTGGTTCAGCTAGTTTGGTCGGGTTATGCTGTTGATTAGTAGTTGTGGGGCGCGTCGAGACGGCCGCCACGTCCTTCCACGAATCCAATCCGCATATCCTTGCCACAGTAACGCCGAAGCTCCACACGTCCGCGGGCCTATCGTACTCAATGCTGTGCTGTTCGGGAGCTATGTAACCTTCTGTGCCTGTGGTGGGGATAGTGATACTGATGATGGATCGATCCTTGTGGACTACTCACCGAGACCGATGGTCATGTTGGTATCTTGTCCAGGGTTGGCCCGGGCCACTCCAAAGTCAGTGAGACGAGCTGAAGGAGTCGATGGGCTACGGCCACTAGAGCAATTACCTCTGTATAAAATACTCTCATTGGCGTTGAGTTTGGTTAGGAGTATATTGGCAGGCTTGAGGTCTCGATGAAGGACGTAGGTCTGTGAGGATGATGAACAGAAGACGACTGAGATACTCCTACCCTGTTATTGGTGGTAGTATGGAGGAACATCATAGCAAAGGCAGTGTCGATAAGGAGACGGAATGTGAATCGCAGGTCCAATAGGACAGGCACATCGTCAAAGGATGCTTCATCGTTGGGGCATATCTCGGCCGGTGATGCTGCAAGGCGTCGCCGCACGTATCTGTAAACAGCTCTGGGTAAATCGAAGGATTATCCCCCGACACATCTCGATCCTCTGTTGTATTAATCATCCCATGTTATTATTCAATGTTAGCAGAATCAACTGTATTGGTGAAATGAGGGTTCGTTGATGTGTTGGGATTAGTAGTATCGTCCAAGTTACTCACTTGTCTCTCGAGTCGAGTAGGACCTCAAGACTGGTATCCTCAACGGTCATAAGACAACACCAAGAGCGCTCGATATGATGGCTTCCTCTCCGCCGCGATGGGAGCCTTTGATGAGCATAGAATATTGCGAGGACCTCCGTGATGCAGGGATGGCCAGCGGAACAGTATGTGCGCAGGAGCTGAGGCAGTTGGTGAGACGACGAAAGGATGGCCCAGTTGATCATACCTCCCCTTCCTCCTCATCTATATGGGCCTCTGGGACCATCTTCAAAGCGTATTCATCGCTACTACTAGGATGGGCCAACAGTGCGCCACACTCACTATAGTCCTCAGGATTAGGGATCAGCTTGACACGCCACACCTCGCCGAATGAGCCCTGACCACGGCGACATTATATTGCCCAACGAGAACACTGCTTGAAGTTACTCTGCCGATCCTTGTGATGAACTCAAAATGCTTATCAAGATCGATTGACCGCTCTGATGTGGCCTTGCCAGCTTCTAAAGACACCAGTCCTACCGAGGAGTGGCCACATGGTCCGACTTCACCTATGATGAGCCTATCCAATGGATGCTTACAGGTATCTTGTATTCCCTCCAAGATGTCTGGAGAGGTTTCTGGTGGGCTCGGTGTCGATGATGGTGTATCTGCCCACCATAGAGGTCCCCGCAGAGCCGAAAAGTCGCATAAGGTTAAGTACCTCCAAGACTGGGATCCCAGAAAATGGGAAGGACAGTTTCCAGGACTTTATGTGTAGCAGTCTCGTCACCATCAGCCTGACTCTTATCAGAGCTGCTACTCCCTTCGAAATCCGAATCGTCCTCATCTTCCTCGTCGTCCTCATCATCATTCACAATCAAGGGTTGACCCTACCTCACTGGATGTACACAGTGCCGATGGACATGTACTCACATTCTGGGATACACCATCCTCTGAGTCTTGGTCGTCATCATCATCAGATGATGCATCGCTATAGTATAAGCGATCCCGTATGAGAATACTATTGTAGTACAGACCACCATCTTGTCGGATCTGACCCAACCTATGTGAGACCCTGAGGGGCCTTCCTACCAGGCGACAGGCTATCCCATTAGCGTCACACAGAGCTTTAAATAGGACCGCCTGGGGTCTCGACGTACAACCTGCATATAGGGCTTATCCATACAAGTGACAACGACAGGTCGCCATTGGATTGATATAGTATAAATTCCCCGAGTCCTCACTCTTGCTTCCCCTTACCAGCCGTAACACTGCTAATATTGACGATACCCCCATTGGTGATGGCAATATCCCTTAGATAGGCCTCCGGGTCGACTAACGGCCCAGCATCCGTGTAGCGCCGTGGCGCCGTCTTCCGCTCGACGAACTTCTGTAGCTCCCCTATGGAATGCTCGACGGTGTGCCCTTCGATTGATGGCATGAAGTCATGGCTCCTCCGGATGTACCTGAACCCATCATTATCCCTCCGTATACAATCAGGCCCCTCACACTACCGTCGAAGGGTAGCATCTTGGCAGGAGTCAACCACTAAGGTGTACTCTAGCGGCCCAGAAGGATCCTCAAGCTTAGTTGGGCTACTGCTAAGGGCAGGTAGTGGCTTGAAGGTCTCATCCACTGGCAGACCCTCCAACTGCAGCGAGTAGCGGTTACGACCACCCGAGTAGGCCCTCTTACCACTCTCCCTAGGATTAAGTCCGGGCCTCCAGGCCTGCTGGTCGGCGAGACGACAGCATCATCACCATCCTCATGGCCAGTCCCCAACCTCTGTTCGAATGCTCGGCAGACCTCTTGCGTAGTGACTGCCAACAACACGGGTTCGCTCACACGCAACCCTGTTGTTCTTACACCCTTGTGGGCCATCAAACCACAGAGTAGCACCCTTGTCGCCAGCCCTCGGCATCCCATCCAAAAGGTAGTCACCATAGCCTAGCTCATCATATAACGAGAACTTCACACTAGCATTTGTCAGTGCTGCAACGTCGATGGCGATAGTGCATAAGTATTGTACTGATGTCAATAACTCAGTTGAAGTATTGAGGAGCTCCTCGATCGGTGACATGCTCATGATATCCTGTAGCTTTCGGATGCAGGAGTATTCCTCATAGGTCATCTCTTGGGAGGCTAGGGCCAACCGCAGCAACCCTCTAAGAACTGCTGACCAAAGCTCTGGATGGTCCAGTGAACTGTCCTGGACTATTCGTCTTAGGGCAAGGATTGTATCCTCGTCGTCCGATAGCCATGACCGTTGTCCCTCGTGATTGTCTGTAGTTGGTAATCATCATTCGAGTTGGACACGAGCATGATCCTACGTGGCAAATCGGTGGTGAGCTCCCTGGTCTCACGAGTGATGTAGAGCTCAGGCAGGAGGCACTCGGATGCTGCCGTCGCCTTCCGACCCTTATGCCGAGTCTTGACGACGACCATCTTCCCTCCCGTCCCTGCCGACTTACTCGTTGTGCTCGGTTGAAGAGTAGATGATGCTGTCCCTGTAAGAGAACCTCCCAAAGATTGGATTCCCTATAAGTTCTACCATCCCCAGATTGCGCACTAGAATGTTTTGGCGCTAGATCAACGCTTTCATGCTTGGACTCCACCTGTATCTTGTTGACGCCAGTCGAGGTAGTCCGAGTACTCTTGCCCCCCGCAGTGGTCGGCTGTCCCTCTGTATCAGCAGCTGGGCTACCCTCAGAGGGGGACCCGGGTAGGAGGTTTCCCCTTGCTATGTAGTCAGGCATGAACTCGATATCACCGTCCTGACGATGGACACCTCTCTGAAGATTCATCTCTCTTGTTTTCCTTACATCCCATATGACATCTAGTAGACGCTCCCTTTCATAGATCACTACCCCTCGTATGAACCCGTTGTGGAGTCCGTTGCCCCTCCTCATCATTAGTTTACGACCTGAGCATTCGACCATGGCTGGCCATAAGAGACCCATACAGTGCTACCAATGAGATCCTCCATCACATCCCGCTGTTCATGTGTCGACTTCCTCCTTTTCTTCGCCGTGGGCTGAGCCACTCGATCCACTTGCCGGCCAACAGGCATCCAAGGCAACCGCAGTACTAACGCACCTTTATGATGACCGATATCAGGATTGACACTAGTAACGCGAATGGGAGCTCTATAGGAAATAGAATCGACGAAGCACATGCTATGGTCTGCCCTTCTCTCGGGAGGATAAGTGCTCATGAAGAGCTCCCGTTAAGCTTGTGTCGGGAGGAGGCCCACTTGGGGGTTCGGTTTACATCATCGCTGAACCTGCTCATGGTAGCGATCACAAGGGGAAGTGTAGAGCCTTAGACTTTCTGCATGATAACCCTTATGGCGAAAAGGGTAGAAAACATCGACCTGTTACTAATCGTTGGTGAGGAAGGGCATTAGTCGTGAAGTAGATCGATATGAACCCATCCTCCTGGGACCATCAACCCTATGACAATAGACTACAGGGGTATCGGGTGAGGGTTCCTCCCCTGTAAGAAGTATGTTCGTCGTGGATCGGCGATGAAGAATTCGTCATTTCTGATCTTGCGCATGCGTGCAACGCAGCTTGCAGTGTAGTCCGTCGAGAGGAGAACTACAGTGACCAAGATCGTTCTGCTATTACTAGTGAACTCGACAGTACGTTAGTCCGAAGGTCGACTAAGTACAGTACACCAGAGCTCGTAAGCAAAGTAATTCCGTGAGGAACCACAAGCAATGCCGTAAGGAACCACAAAGCGTGACGCCCCCTTGGTGGTGTGACGCACCAATCGATTACGCTACAGGGCGAACGAGATTAGAACTGCATCCTAAGTCTAAGGGAATGTCAAGCGATCAAGTCAGCAAGTTACAAGGTCTACAGCAGGAGCACAGGATTTGCGTACAATTGGACGAAAACGAGTCTGCCCATTGGTGACACGGATTGGTCATCCACTAACCCTTATCGGAACTCCCTTGAATTGCATTGGCCCGAGTGGACGACACAGTAAACGTGACCATGGTGGGAGTAGTCATCGAAAGGTGACGCCGTCGCGTGCTGTTGTTGATGCTATCATCACGTCACTGGGCTCATGTTGTGTTACTCGTAGTGAATACATTGTTCAGTAGCGGCAGTTGTTCCAATGCCGTCAACATCGCCAGGTGTGAGGTCAGAGCCAATACACTTGCGGAGCTTCACAGGTAGTAAAGGGCGATGGTGGCCTAGTGTGGACGATTCGTTCTTGAGAAGCTGAGGGGGAGAATCCTAGGACTTCAGCGTGGAATCCCGAAGTTCCATCCGCGGGTGCTGTTGGAAAAGGAATACCTAATGGGTGCTCACGCTCTGTACGCTGACAGACTAAACCGAGTTCTTCCGAACGAAATTCCCGCCGAACTGATCATGGACCGGACTGTGAAGGAAGCGGGAATTCAATTCTGGGAAGTGTCATCGCTGAGATATATGTGTTGAACATTGTTTATTCGCGTGCCTTATATTCCCCCTGAAACTCGTTATATTATGATAAGGGAAGTAGTCAGTATCACCGAGGCTTCGCATAGCATAGCTTGGGCAGTGGCCTTATTGTGTTGCATGCCACCACCTTGCAGGCACTGAGGTTGGCCGTCCTCCTTCATCACTCGAGAGTATATCATCGGGAGCCCGACTGTTGGAAGTGAGCTGGCCGCCTAGGCAAGGATAGTATGACCTTGTGGTGATCAGATAAACCACGTTGCTGGCAACAATGGGACGACTTCCGAGGTCGGACCCCCAGTCCTGGTCATTCCCGATATCAATGAACCTTGTGGAGGCGGCGGGGAATCTACCAATATGTCATCTAGAGTCTTACCAGCTATTCCGGAACCGGTACCAGAAGATGTGCTCAAGCCTATTGCAGAAATTGACGAGCGACGAGAAAAGCTGATGCAATGGGAAAGGGTGAAACTGCATAAGTAGTACTAGAGTAGTGAGAATAGATCTGTCAGTGTACGTGGGCCGAAATATAGACGAACCATGGTGTCTCAATAATGGTGGCTGCTGATATCGTTTAGTAAAATATTGTGCCATAAGTATTAGTGGGAAAGATTGAGCTCGTGCCATTCAGGCGGACGATGGTTTTCTCCGTACCACCTTTCGAGAAAGCATATCTTTTATCCCTGGAACCAAAGCTGCGACGGAGCCTATGGGTACCAGCACTTGCCTATATAGCGTACTATCACTTCTTTCTTACTCGGCCCTATTCAGTCCTGTAGGTTTGCCTTGGTGTGTCTACTCTATCCCTCCATTTGGGTATCTAAATGGGATACTTCTGCGAATATACTATTTAATTCATGTTGGTTGATCATTACCGCCTTGAGTAAGTACCCATCCTCCTCTTGAGCATTCCTCCAAGGTCTTTTCTTGCCGCCAGGCCTATTTGTCCTCGTTACATTCCCCTTTGCCATCCCCCCTAGTCGTTACTTAGAATTATACATACAAGTATGGACGGGCTTCACCATGATCGCCGCCACTGTGTTTGGTACGCCATATCGAGTGGCCACCATCACAGGTACTTAGGGCCGATCAGCTTGTCTATTACCCGCTTCACCAGGTACTGACTACAGTGTAGCTTTCCCTGGTGCTAATCTCGGCGTCGCCGATATATCAGTTTTCTTGGATCTTCTCACTATGTGAGGACACGCCATGATCGTTGATGCTAGTCGGGATCTGATAATGTGTTTTCAGAATGTATTTCTCGGTCTACACCCCTCTGAGGATCCGCCGGCTTTTCCCGGTTGCTGTGGCCATCAACATCATTTACGCTGGAATATCAATTGGACTCGGAGTCCCGTCATACGACGCCAACGCGGACGTCGTGCCGTCGTCCACAACAGAGAACTGGTTTGCTGTGTAATAGTCATTCTAAGCATAAGCCGATATCATTCACCTTTGCAGGTCGCTGACTCTAATGGTGATTCTGAGCTCTATTCTCGGCTTGACGGGAAAGTATCGTCTTGAACTCTTCCAAAGGACCAATTTCCTCCATTTGGAGGTTTCACAGCGGAGAATAGATGTATGTGTATATCCCACACTGTGGTATTCCCCACCTTGTTCGTGTACATAGGTACTCGAGAGGACCATAGTAGCGTTCGACAGTTCTAATAACAAGGCAACAAGAGTTACTCAGATGCAGCTAACGCACAAGGTGTGATCATCATACATCTGATAATGATGATTGCCATCTCAGAGGTTGTTGCTGATGGAAAAGCTGATATTCCGGGCAAGGTCGACGGGCTTAAGCGGCCTTAATGTCCATAACGGACAGTTGGCAAGCGACTTGGACCACGCACTGTCCTTGGTAGTTTTGGTGTTCGAGTGGCCAGCGATCAACGACTTTACTCGCAGGTGAGGAAGTCAGAGAAATCTCTTTTTGTGTTGGACTTCCAGAAGGAGGTTCTAATGGAAGGTATGTCGTCGCATCAGCAGCAGAGGGTGAGGAGCATTTCGGTGACACTCTATGGGGTGTATGGTTCGTATTCAGTTGGCGTCTGGAGAGACTCCTAGGTCGGGCGAGTCGGGTAGTCGTGGAGGTCATGGCGGCCCAGCAGCATCATTGTTGTATTGCTCGGCACTCTATACTCCTATGTCTAGCGTAGCACAGGGCTCAAGGGCATCAGCAGCAGCAGCGGCAGCACGGTACGACTATTATGTTGTCAATGAATAGGGAACCGGATCATACCCAGCGATCTTCTCAGATACGGTTTAGGTGGTAGCGCCTCGTCGGTTGCTGTAATGCCCGGTGGTGAATATTCTACTGTGTGTTTTGTTGATGATTATGAAGAACTACTGACTAGAGTTGGCCATGACTTTACCTTGGATGTTGAGGAGCTGTGGACCTCTCATCAAGTATGGGGAGCTGAACTGATGGAGTGCAGTGTTTTCTTTCAGGAAAGTCGGCGGAATCCTGAGTGTGTGTTAGCTCTGTACATGACAGTGGCACGAGCCTGTTTCCCAGATGACCAAGCTAACCGAATACTCAATATTGGTATGATGATGATGATAGAAACAACTTTGCATATTATTTCGTCTAGGTTCGGAAAGCCACGATGGTCTCCGGTGCCCAGTGTATGAGAGGTTCCTCTCGGAGCTGTGTAGTCGGTATCTATTATCAGTACCATATCATAATGCTGTCCATGCTGCACAAGTAACCCATCACTGGTAGGGCAGTGCTACTATCTACAGCACTTCAGTGTTCCTCCTTCAGCGCTGCTATCATCAACTCGCTGGGTATTCGTTCGAGATTGTCCGATCTCGATTGGGCGTCGTTGATTATCGCTTGTATGAGCCACGATGTTGGCCATTTCGGTCACACCAACAAGTTCTTAATAGAAACACGGCATCCTCTGGCCCTACGGTATGTCCTTTGCGTGCAGTCCAACCCTCTTACGATGCTTAGCAGGTACAACGACCGTTCTGTTATGGAGAACTACCATGCGGCTACTATGTTTGATATGCTTAAAGAAAGCGAGGACTGGGATATCTCCCGAGGCCTCTCTAGGTAGAAGTAGTAGCCCGCCGCTCTCTATTGAGGCACTGGCTTGCGTATTAGGTCCGAATTGAAGCGTTTCCGAAGTCAAATCGTGGCATTGATATTGAGCACTGACATAGAAGCACTCCCAAAGCTCGCAGACCAGATAAAAGTATGTCGCCACTCTAGTGTCGATATGCTGGCAGCAGTTATTGTAGGACCGAGTGGCAAGTGGGCCTCCTTTCAACGTCTCCCAGTTCCCCGAGGACTCACGACTCATCCGAGGGCTCAGCATATCCATGGCAGATTGCGGTCACGTTTGGCTCACTTGGGATTTGCACTATAAATGGGCAGTGAGGCTGTGTACCAATTCAACGTGTTACGCCCCTTTGTTATCTGTTACACTGTTAGCCGCCGAATTCGCGGCAGAGGCGCGCGAATTAGCGAAAGTGAACAGGCAAGTAACAGCGCCGCCGTGGACGGACAGCTCGCCGGCATCAAATGTAGACCCGTCACCGCGCACACAAATCTCCTTCATCGAACGATGTACATGAACATGCAGTTTCGGCTAGTTCCAATGTTATCTTTATCAGGGCCAATTGTGATGATTGAAGCACTTGAGAGTCTCATTGGGATCGACGAGACTGGATTCTCTAGTACGGCTTGTGAATGGTCGAAGGCTGTAAGGCGAGCAATACGTGACAATGTTTCACACTGGAAGGAGAGTGAAGCAAGTGAGGAGGAGGAGGAGGTTGTTCGAACGACCGTAGGCGTGGTCGATACGGATGCAGCAGTGGACAGAGTAGCGGCACCGTAAGTATCGGTCAAGACTGAGGTTCGAAATTGATAGCTTCAGAGAGGCTAAGGTGGAATCGGCGACAGTCAAGAGCGATGGTCGCGATAATCGGCGTGTCCCGAGGTGAGTGATGATGATCAGGGCAATCTGCTTCTTGATCGGAATTGTTCAGTAGTGATGATGATGATGTCCCTATGATGAGCTATCGAGATATGTACGGCAGTGGAAGCGCTGTGGGGAGATCGGCCAACAGGTGTGGTTTCCTCATGTATCAACAGCAGGTCATAGCATGATGATGGTCGTCAGGTCTAGTGCCGATGATGAGCCACCAATGCTGAGTTACTCGGCTCTCTATAACACTGATGGAACCAGCCTTCCGCCTGCTACCAGCCGTCGGTCGGGGAGGTAGGAGTCAAAGCTGAGTCCTGTTTTGTTATAACATTGTCTACTCAGCTCAAGTTCCGGATCGGAAATAGCGTCGAGTGAGCAGCCTCAAGGGAATAGCCAACAACTAGCATTGCAGCGGTATGGGTGTATAGCCGCCTTACACATTGACGTCTTTCATTCGTAGTGGCCAGCAGAACAGTGATGACGATGAGGATCCACCGGTGATGAGTTACAGCGATCTTTATGGCTCTGCTGCTGCTGCAACACGGTGAGTTCAGTTGCCCATGCTTGTGGAGGGTGATGACAACTGTCAGGAGTGCCAACATGGACGATCCTGATGAGCCTCCTATGCTCAGCTATGGCGATTTGTACAGTAGGTTAGGTGGAATGCAAGGCTCGAGGTAAGCCTAGACACTTGAACATGCCGTATTGCGATGATATTTCCTCCCCAGGACCGATCCGTCACAGCCATCATCGGGAGCCGATAGTGCTTAACAACCGCTGCAATTGTAGAGGGTTACTCGCTGCCTTTATTGATTCCTACGACGTTATCATTGTACACGTACTCGCACAGTAATGCACGATTTTGTCATCATTCTTTCACGTACCGTTTCATAGCCCTCATTGTCTGAGTTAACGCTACTACTGCTTATATCGCGGCGGCCAACTGCCTAGTGGCGAGTTGGCCAGTGAGAAAAGCGCGCGCCCTGGTGATCGATTTTAAGAAGGTTTCTGTATGCGTGTAGCTTCGTTGGTTCTGGACTCCACCTGCGCGGTGTATTGAGGCAATTTTGTTGTCAGTTGAGTTTCCGTTGTTGGCATTACTCAACAGCGAAGCAGGCGTCTTTGTTGCGCACATAGAATTGAAGTATAGTTGATAACTTGAATCAATGGAGCTCGAAAAAGAGAGTACCAGCAACAGTAGCAATACTAGTGCGAGAAGCGATAGCAGTGTAGCCGGCACTGATTTAGTCATAGCAGCTGTTAGAGCAGAGACAGCTGAGGGCATCGAAGACCCTTCTGAATCTGAGACTAGTGGCAAGTTTGAGAGTAGTAATGGAGGTAGCGGATCAGCTGAGGAGAGTGGTGGGAAGGGTGAATCAAGAGTAGCTGCTGCAGCAATCGCTGGAGACTCGCCGGGCTCAGATCCAATAGGATGGGGTAGGTGCTTATGGTGGTGTTACTGCTGATGTCTGTAGTGATGTGTTGTATATGTTTAGCCGTTGACAAGCTACTCAGCCGTATAGTTGAGGAGAACAGCACTGAACAGCTCATCGCCCTCTTGTCCGAGATGACAAAGAAGGCCTTAATTTTACAACATCAACTCGAGTTAAGCAGCACACGTAATGATGAGTTACTGAAGGAGATTGAGCAACTGAAGAGAAATCTCGATGAGGAAAGGGGGAAATTCAGCGCAGCAGAACCCCCGTCACCGCCTCCTCCAGTGGGTTCAATTGTTTATGATGGTGAATTACCCTCGGACGGACGGGATGGGAGTTCCCCGTCTGTGGGTGCGGTACCGCAACTAAATGAAATTTATGAAAAACATCACATTGACCGAGAGGTTCGGGATATGCTGCGGAATTCACGTAAAATAAGGAGACCGGAGCAGCGGCAGATGGTTATTGATCTGTTCCTCGAAAAGGTTGGTCACGAGCAGGGCAAGGACGTGTTGGCTGCGTTAAAGGTGAGTTCGGGTTCACTCGAGTGTAATGATGGTGTAATGCTCGCAGGGACTCACTGATTCTACTAATAGCGAATCCAAGTCGGCGGCGACGGGTGATGCTAGAACGTATAATCGTCGGACGCATAACCGTCGAGACAACAGTGACCATCCTCTACAAGCCCGTTCCGGTCCTGAGAACCGGAGTTGGCTATTCGCCCAATGTGTGAAGGAGGTTGAGTTCAAGATTGGACCAGCAGCAGCAGCATCAGCATCCAGGCATAAGAATGACTATTATGATTACGGCAACAAGGGGAGATGGTCGGGAGGGAATAGTGGTGGTGCTCGGGATAGAGGAGGAGGAGGATGGAATCGTCGTCGAGATATGAATGGATGGTGATGTTCCTTTGTGGGTATAGCCCATCGACTTGAACATTTATATTCGGTCAACTAAGTCAACAGCAGCAACAGCAGCAGCCTCGTTGTCATTGTCTTCTAATGTCTTTAATGAGTAAGTCGGTTATCAATGAATAATATTGCGAAGCGTATCCTAGTAGTATCCAATGCATCACCACATCCTCCTCCACACAGACTATAGTCTTCATAACAATTTCCCTCGTTACTGTAGCTGTTACCTCTTTTCTGATGTTGTTGAGTCCCGCCGCCGTTCGGCCTCGTGTGGCCTCTTGTACTACCATCTTGATGCAGCAAATCTGGGTCGTGAGTTCCTCTGTAATTTCTGACCTTTTTTACGAGATCTTCTTCGACCTCCTGTCCTCCTGTTTGTCGTCCTTATCTTCCTTCTCATACCAATAACTACAGCTGGCATGGCTACTACTACTATTATGATAATGTTGTAAACCCCTTTCATCTCGGAGTGTCGAAGCACGACTAAGGTCGTTAATATTGTCACCATGACTGTCTTTCCGACTAGTCATTCTCGAGGTCAGCCGCCACCGATATCACTTGTAAGCCAGCCAAGCTGCTACTCCCAGCTAATAATATATGGCTGCTATGGCAGAAACGACGATGAGAAGGAGGATGGCGATGATGATAATGATGACTGCCGTATTAATGGGGTAGGAGGTCCTCTTTGTTCCGAATACGTATTGGGCAGGAGGTGGTTATTGTCTTAGAAACTCACAGCTTTTTTTGTTGCGCAAGTTTCGTTTCAATCGAGAACTTTTGGGATAGTTTAATTGGTGAAGATGCGCTCACGCCTGAGGAGCCTAGTGATCCTGTTTGGGATAGGCGTCTATACCTTAGTACTCATGGTGATACAAGCTTGGGTGTAGTAGTCGATATCAGTAATACCAGGTTCACTCGACCAAGTCGATGCTGCTCTGGTTGGGAGACAGTAGCAAGAATCAGAACAACAACGAGAACTCAGTGGTAGTATTCTATGACCATTTCATAGCCGCTCTCGAGAGTTCACTCACTTCTCAGGCTCAGCGCTCCCTAGCTGCTCTGGACGATCGACTACTTGCGGCACATTCTAAGGCATTAGATGCTTACGTCAATTGTGTGGCGCGTGATGTCAAGGCCACCGCCGGCAGCTCAGAACGGGCGTGTCGGCGAGATGCTATGGGCATATTCGATAGCGTAGCCGCTGAGGGAACTGTGGGGATGGGAAAGGAGGCCGAAACGCTGGTGAAATCTGCTCGGAAACTACTGAAGACCGGCCTGGATATGCTACAGGGTGAAGTAAATCAGCTGAGGCTGGCAGCGCAGGCCGCTAATGATGAGCAACGACAAGCCCTGGCCTGGATAGGGGAGATGGCACAGCGATCGAAAGATCGTGAGAATGTCCCAAGGTCAACGGGCGTTCGGCTTCGCGGAGACTCCTTCAAGAAAGGCGGCGTCAAGGATGCCATAAGCAGTATATTGGGGAGCATTGAAGTGAAGAGCCCGGGTGGAGGTGCCCGGTTCGATTCTGGGGGAGGGGAAAATGGCAAGTCTATTTTAGAATTGATTGGGAAGTCTGCTCAGGACGCTGGGCCCTCCCTGACTTTTGAGTGGTAGGGTCTTACTATTGTACGTTGAAATTTACTGTGTATTGCGGCAAGAGGTTGTGTTACTGGGGCGCATCGAATGAATGTTGATAACTACAGTTGTTAATTGGCGAATGGTGAGGTCTGTTGCTGCCGCCCAACGTGGTCACCCTGAGAGCAAGTCAGAGAAGCGAAGACGCCTTAGATCGTTGGGCATCCTGGCCGGCCTCGTTTATGGATGTGGACTATTGGTAAGGGGGTCTACCTCTGGGGGATGGCAGTGGCTTTCGGAAGTCAATACCCCCCCCCCCCCCCTTGGACGATATCCGACCTCCTCTCAGGTCACCAGCGTCGCTCCACTGTGGTTGTTTGGCTCGAATGACAATTCCGATTGGACTCGTCCAGAAATGGTCACAAGGTAGTCGTCAACCTCGCCGCTGTGCTTTCTCATTACTCGGACTTCGATCAGCTCTTCGGTGGGAGGTGAAGTATCTGGAGAGCTCAGGGACTTCCTCAATGATCCTCTAGTCAATACAGACCGCGAACAGACTTGGCAGCATAGATACAGTCACAAGCAACTCGGTGATCTCACGCTTACTGGTAAGTTATCTGACCAAGGCTCTCTTCTAACTCCGTACTCTGGGATCATTCTTTCTGACGAACTGAACACATCGCGTTAAAGAATTTCCATGGGTCTTCGTGTAAGTACGTACGAGCTTGTCGGTACTGCTGCATGTATCATCGAGCCTCTGTGTACTTTGGTGAGATTTTATACAATACAGTCTACCCATACAGTGTATCGGCTAGTTTAATAGGTAATGACAAGGACGAGTGGGCAGCCAACTACCTCTACAATCTACCCGGCAAAGGTTGGATCATTCTCGATAACCTGCTTAGGGTATCTGCTCGCTGTTATTCAGGACTTGGTGCTATCGAGGGCGCCTTGAACAGCGATCAGCAACTCGCTTTACAGTATTCCAATGCGATTCCGGATGGCACAGTAGGTATTCCCGTCTCGCTATATCTCAATCACCGTTACTCAGTTGCGCGGTACAGCAGGGTGGTCTAGCAACGACGGCTACTTTGGAAAACTCTCTAAGCTGTGGAATGGCGGCAATGGGAAAGCAGCTAGGTAATGTATTAGAATTTGGCGAAAATGCGGTATGGAATATTGTTTTGATAGATATGACATCGCAGGCAGTACCAATAATGGGGAGCTGAAACACCAACTTCAGGCCCAGTGGGCGAGAGATAACGATAGGGTAAAGGCAGTAGTCGGGTTGTGATAGGGGTAAGTGCGAATCTTTCAGGCTGAAGCGGGCATTCAAGCTCCCATCACTAATCCTTATGGCTTCCTGTCCAAGTCTGGTGCTGAAAAATGTAAATGGGATCTGACGCTGGGTCGTCATTGAAGTGGTGTTTTCCTCAGTCAACCCTGACTGGTACACCTCTTACAGTCGCTCCCTCGTCGATGGTGGCTATGACGCGAAGAACCCATTTGTAAGTTTTATCCAATGAGTGCCTTGATGACTTTTCTCCGATTAGGGCATTGAGGGAGGTGCCCGCCTCTCTTCTGGTGGCGAACTGGAAGGACGCCTCACCGCACGAGCCAAACCGATCGATAGTGTTGATGCCGAGTAGCATGCCACGTGGGTGTTGACTCTGCTGTTATTACGTTGAATGTAGATACCATGTCAGTGCGCGAACTCGTCCTGATACTTCTAAGGGCTTATGGGGTTGGTTGACTGGCTTCGGAAAATCGCCTGTAGAGCTGGAGCACAACGCACAGGTAGCAGCATTATCGATGATGTGTGTATCACGGTTCGGTCGGTAGATACAATATTCGAACGCCCCTGGGAGCGTTATGTATGCGAATTACGAGAAGCGAGATGGTTCCGCTGGGCATTTACGTCTAGGTTATGGTATGACAAGTGATGATTCCCAGTAACGCAGGAAAGTGGGAGTTGAAGCAAGTTCCTAATATCACACCACTTGGGATATTGTGCTCACACTTTCTCCGAGTCAATTTTGTTGTGTTAATCAGTGGTAACGGAGAAACTTGAGGAGCGCCGAGTACATTCTCTTCCTTGTCGTTTTCCACGTCATTGGTTATTATGGGGGGTTGCTCAATCGGTGGTTCGATCGGGGAGGGCTGGGACTTCAGGGCATTTGAATTCCGCATCCACACCATTTTGTGGCAGTGCTGGTTGGCCGGAGTCCTGTCGCCGGACCATGGAGGACGCACCATGGCTGTTTACGATTGGTTTATCAGTAGGTCATTTGCTAATGTGTAGTAGTAGTACCAGCCGGGTACTGCCTGCCGTTCACGCTGCCGTTGGCACGTGGGATGCCAAGAAAGAAAATTCACTTTGTTGGGTACATCCGACGATGTCACGTTAGCTACAGGTACACTGCAGAGCAGGTTAATCTTCCGTCTAAGCCTAGGCAATGAGACGGACTTCTCTTCTGCTTCGGGCAAGCCACTTTATGGCGCATTCAGCAGCTTGCGAGGGAAAAATCCAGTTGTGGAAATATTTGACCCACATAAGAACACTATGAGCCTCGCATAGCCTTACCCACTAGATCCCCCATAGGCCGGGTTCAGGAAATAACGGAAATAACGCACAAGAATCTGATGGACATAACGGTTAGTTCCATCAGATCCTATATTCTACTAGGGGCAATCACCGCCTAGTAGTGTAGCGGTAGTTATTCGCTAAGCCTACTGGCCGGGCCACAGTGATAGAAAAAACTTTCTCAGCAGAAGTTCCAGTATCGATAAGGATGAGCAGAGAACTCGATAGCGGAGGACAACTGCAATATAAAAATTCATGGTCTCGAGGATAAGGAGAGTTAGTAGATATGAGCTGAAAAGGTCGTTCGTCGCCAGAACTTCTGTCACCTGTTTTGTACTCATCGTTTTGCCCGTCTGTATTGAACTGAACACAATAGGGGAGAATATGTGGTGAAACGTTTTGACAGTGCCAATGGTATTTATGTTCACGCAACACGCCCGGCTGAACGATTGCTTGAGTTGTTGGAGAACCTAAAATTATAAGCGCACACCTAACTAGAGGCGAAGAGATGTAGTTCGTACTTCAGCATGGAATGAACACCACCCTCCTTGATAGCGCTTCCGGTTTGAGCCTCGAATCTGAGCTCACCGCTGACATTAGCCGCGTGGAGCTCAGGCACGCTCTGAGCGCCTACGTAAGCCATACCCTGCTTAACACCCTAAGGGGAAGGAGGGATGAGGCAGCCAAGCGATATGATATCAACCGTAGTGTACCTCCATGATATAAGGGATGAGGCTGGTGACGCTTCCCTTATCAACAACGGCTCCGCTCACTCCCTGCGCGACTTTGATATTGGCGGATTCGGCAAAGTAGCGTTCACCCGAGCGATTCTGCATAGCCTCGAGTGATCCTACAGATCAAACATCATGCAAGGCTAGCCACGAGTGCCGATGGAAGGTGGAAGTATCTCACCCATTCCTCTGTATGTCTTCATTCTCACACCATCATGCCAGAAGAATTCACCGGGGGTCTCTTCGGTACCAGCGAACAGAGAACCCACCATGGCCGCAGATGCGCCGAGGGAGAGTGCCTGTACAGCAATGATATTTTTCACAAGGATCCAGAAGTGTTGTATCACTTTCATGATGTGACCGGAGGTTTGGATGCCACCGTCAGCAATGCAAGGAACATTGTATCGCTCTCCTGCGAACTTGCTTACATGATAAACCGCAGAGCCCTAAAATGCAACAATTTTGCCGTCAATACCAGATCAGCACTCACCTGTGCACGGCCGACAGCGCACACCTCTTGAGTGGTGCAGATGGAGCCACTGCCCATGCCGATACGTATGCCGTCGGCGCCAGCATCAAGGAGAGCCTGAGACCATACATCATCTGACGTTCTCGAGTAAGATATTATGACCTTGGCTTGTCGGACCGACACAACATTGCCAGCGATGATCTCCATAGTGGGGAAATCGTGTTTGATCCTCTTGATGAAGTGAACTTGATAGTCAGACCACCCCTGGGAGGAATCCACCACGATGACCTGTATACATCGACCATGAACACGATCAGAGAGAAATCCTTTTTATCACATCGACACCAGCCTCGATCAGCTGCTGGGCGCGAGCCTCGTCACATGGGCGGGTACTGACGGCAGCTCCCACCATCAACTGCTTGTTAGCGTCCAACGTGGCGTTCGGATAATTACGGGATGATTTAAGATCTTGACGCGAGATCAAGGCAACGAGATCCTACAGAGAAATGGAGAGGCGTATATATACGCCGGAACGTAGTAACATACCCCATTCTTATTCACGATGGGAAGCTTGTTTTTCTTTGACTCTCTAATCCTGCGATGGGCCTCGGGGAGAGATATGGGATCGCAACCCACGACTAGCTTATCGGCAGGGGTCATCACCTGGACCACTCGGTTATGGTGACACACCATGCAACCACTTCATTACCTCAGATAGCTTGATGCTTCTGTCCTTTCTGAAGTCGATATCGCGGCTGGTGACTAGGCCCAACAGCTTACTGCCCATTGACCCTGAAGCATAAAGGTTCCTGTCAATCCGGAGGAACGTGCCGGGTATCTGTCCGCCACAACTTACCGCTCTCAGTGACGGGAACGGTGGAGAATCCACGTGTGGCCTTGATCTTGTCAACATCAGCGATGGTAGCACTGGGGCCGAGAGTGATAGGATCCATGATAAAACCGTTCTTGAAGCGTTTCACTGCTCGCACTTCAGCGACCTATCTTGGAGCGTTTGGATGACCGTGTATGGTCCTAGAGAGCTACGTTTTACCTGTTCGGAGATCTCGTTGTTGTTATGAATAACACCGAGACCACCCATCTGTGCAACTGCTATGGCCATATGATGCTCAGTGACCGTATCCATGGGGGAAGAAACAATAGGAACAGCCAGAGAGATCTTCTTAGTGATCCTGGTCTTCACTGACACTTCATCTACATCACTTTTCACATGGCCGGGCATAAGAATAATGTCGTCGTACGTGTAGCCGGTGGTCGAGGCTAAAAATGAGCCGCTCACCGAATAGACTGATCACAAACAGTACCGTTGAAGAGTTTGTCTGCTGCCATGCCATCCTCCATCAAAAGCCCTTCATCAGTCATGGGCTCTGGGCCGAGAGTCTTATGTTCCGTCGTGGCGGGCATTGAAGTGAAGAAAGGAGTGTCAAGGGAATACGTCTGCAAAGACCAAAGCATTGAAGCGTCGCTCCGCTGATTCGCTCTCGTGCGGAATAGAGAACCGCATGTATATCTCGTTCATTGAACGGATGACCTCCTGAGCCGATATCGGTGCTATCGGAGGTTTTCTGAAGTGACAAGTCTCGTCAACAGGAGGTGCCCTCAGTGAGTCTCAAAGCTTCGCCCACCCAGCCCGGATTTTCCATCAGCGGAGACTTCACTTGTCTACCCGTGGCTGTAAAGCATAACTTCGATTCGACGTTCGGAGCACCATTTTTCCTGTTTCGGGAGAAAAAGTCGAGTTGGGCGGAGCGAAACGTTGTGTAGCTCGCGCACGCCACCGGTATCTGTCCCGATGATATTATCTCACCGATTCCTTCCTCAGCCTCAAGTCTTCCTGATCCAGTAGGATTGAGTCGTCGCACCCCTACGTTGCATCGCGAACTATGTTAGCTCGACGCGCTCAAATATGAGCACCCACTGGATAGCCGATCTCTTTCCACCGGTTAAGATCACGAGCTGCGTGTGATGAGCTCGGCAATTTGCTGGTTGTGCCTTTCATATCGTCTACCCGACGCATGACATGCTGTTTGAGTGGGAAGCAGGTGAGACAACACGAGATGCTGTATCCCTCTATCGAAAGAAATTGTTCCAAACAATCTCGTAAGCATATTAACTCCAGATGCTAAATGGGAATGTTAAATATTCTTGAGGCGTCCTCAATTTCCAGGAACTCCTCCTGGGAGAAGAAATAGGAGAAAGCCAACTCTATGAAGCTGCTCCCATGCTTGGCATGTCTAACGAGTGTTCCACTCGCCTGCCGAAAGTCGCTATCCCCAGGTTAGGGACTTAACACGCCACCATGACTACCTGGAAATTGCCCTTTTCCCGATGACATGCAGCATCATTGGCAGAAGACATCGAGCTTCATTCAGAATCGCAGTAGCAGATATTGGTAGTGTGCTGACTATCCGCCGGTTGAAGGTATAAGTCGCGGAGATGTCGGAAGCTTCGACTGCCACTCGGTGTATTCGGCGGTCAACGCTTCCTTTTTATCCTTAATTTTGCTGAGGACGGCCTTGGATTTTGCCGACATGTTCATCTTCAGCATCTCCGTTCTATTATCGATCTGCGCACATCTGCGATCGGAACTAGTGAGGAACCATCTTACCGTGCTATGAACGATCTTGATCCATTCCGGCGCTAAGTCAGCCGTCTGCCGAAGATAGTCCTCCATGACTCGAGTCCCAAGTGCCTTGTACCGTCGCCCACCGCCATTGGCCGACATGAAGTGCCTGAGGCTTCAGTGTCGCTAGCACGGGAATACACGGTTGCTCACTTCACCACGTCTTGTAGCTTCATCGAGGGATGCTCTCTCATAAAGAAAAGACGACTGAGCTCTGATACGATTGAAGACAGAAGTTCGAAGAAGCTGAGTTGCCTGAGACGCAAATAGCTACCACCCAGGGAGTCGCCGGTCACTACTCGCGCCATTTCAGGTCCTCTTCATAGATTTGTGCATCTTCTTTCTCCTTCGCTTCCTTGGCCCGGACCTACGACACCATCAACTGCAAATTCCGGGGACCGCTCACCCTCTCCCTCATCTCTTGCCGTCGCTCAGCCGGCGTCTTGCTCGCTGATCGACTCCGGATGTTGTTTCGGACGGAGGGAGTACGCTGAGCTCACAGGAGAACAAATGAATGTTATCAACTGCAACGATAGTTTCGAACCTTACAGCTGGAGTCATGGGCTCGGACAGCTGCGGAAGAATAACCGGTACAAATGGAGACGAACTCAATTCAAGCCTCTCTCGCCGCCTCGCTCGAACTCCTAAAAGTCTCCTCCGATATTCGAGAGCAACCCGTTGACTCAACCCGAGAGCATTAGGCTACAAGGCGTCTGCGGCGTCACATCTGGACTCGGTGTTCCTCGACCGCGGAGGACCGGTGTCGAGTTTACTGTCGGAGAAGCCTCATAAGGGTTGCTTGGTAATACTGCCTATACGACATGTTTGATACCTGTTACGGTTAGCCTGGCAACTCACTTGTGGCACCGGATCAGCCTCATCAGTGAGGAACTTCTTCGGGTCACTGCAACTCCTTTCCTGCGAAACAGGGTAAAACTCGTCAGCTACCACAATTCTTCTCTTGCTAACCTGCTCCGCTAGAAGCTTCTCGAGCTGCGCTCGAACAACGTCAGCTCTCGCCAGCGCCTCCTTGGCATCAAGTCGTTTAGTCAGTATAGCACCTAACAGCCTCTACCTCACACTGACCGGCCCAGCCATAGCCCTACCAGTGGCATCTCTCTGGATAACGACTAGACGCCGAAGCGGGCTCGTGCCCATAGAGTCGACTTCACATTCTTTCTCACGCCACTCCAGCTCGAGGAGGCCACCGGCCGCAAACACAACTTGAAGTAGTCGTCCCTGAAGTGCGTATCCAACACGGACTACACGTTTGAACGACACGACCTTAGCGAACCGCTTCCCGCTAGCCCGTTCGACACCAGCCTTGAGTTGCAGGTAGTAGGGCACTTGGCTACGAACTCGGAATAGCGAGAGAACCTCATCGAGCCTGATAAAGAGCTGCGTCGATTCTGCCATCATACGGGGTACTTACATTCTGAATTGATCCAACACAGTCTTGTAATGGCTTGGTAGCGACCGTTTGCCTGCACTGACCTGCAGGATCGAGCAGATGACGCACACAAGTCAGATTGATCTCACGGATGGCTGAGCCTTCTTTAACTCCTCAGGTATCGGTAACTTAGTCGTAGCTCCAACCGTGGCTACTGGAGGAGTTGGCAATTTAGCAGCTTTCGGATCTACGATGCGGATTACACAGGCTACATCACGCGCAGCAGATTCCATCACCATCTTGCTTCTCTTCAGTGAACTCTTTGAATAGGTTCTTGACTGGTCCTCGATCGCCACGAGTGTCTCTTGGTAATGAGTCACGCCTACACAGGTTGCTAGACGTTCGTACAATTTGAGGTCTAATGAGCGTACCCCTTGCCTCCAGTAGAGGGCAACTCGAGCTGATCAACCACCTCCCCCATACTCATGCGGGTACCACAACCTGAGCGCAGCGCCACCGAATCATTCCACAAAGACAGTTCGGTTACGTACTGCTGCGATTGGTGGCTATTGAAGCGCGGCCTCTGGTTGATGGCCGGCCTCGTAGTAAAGAGTCTCGACGCGAACCGACAGTGAAGATCTGAGGCGCGTATCCGTTCATCGTGTTAGGCAGCTAGCGAAGCTCTGCTTGCACACCGAGAAGCCCTCACTTGGAACTCTTCCCTGGAAGATTCTCCCGGCCGCTTCGGTGTGCCGGAGTTATGGCGCTTCGCCGACGGCCGCGAGCTCTTAGGTGTGGTAGGAGGTAGACCGAGACCCTCTATCTCGATGAACTCCCAACGTAGCAAAAGTCTAAACACTCACCATCTACAGGGCATCCGAAAAGATTCTTCCTCGGCGTAGCACAGAGAGGGTCTGAGTCAGGAGAGGTCGATTCCCGCTTCCGCTTCTGACTAGTGGACCGACCTAGCGAACCATCTACTCCGAGCTAGCTCCCCTAGAAGACCTACCTCGGGTAACGGATGGGCTAGAGCCGTGCCCACTGCGTTTCAGTCGACGTGAGGATCTTATCGAGCGGCAGCCATCCTTCAACGTAGAGGACATTGTCGACAAGGAGGCAACGATACAAACACGGGTTGTACAAGCAAAGACCCACGTGCTAGAGCACCAAACGGCCCAGGACAAGTGCGAGGACCAAGCCGAGCGAATTGACCAACACGAAGCTAACGTCCCAGGAATTAGGACGTGGCAATCAGCATGTCTAGCTGTCCACTACACATAGATGGATTAGACTACATCTTCAGCATGCTGTAGTCGAGAAAAATACCAAAATCACCAACAGAACCTTCTACGGAAGACAACCGGGAGATCACTCTTCACCGGTACCAAAATAGAGCCAGATGACACGGCAACTGCTGTGGTTATGAGGAAAATTGAAGTGTCGCAGATCAGCGTTTGTGGAAAAGTGAAAAGTAGTCGATGAGAAGTCGCAGAAGTCCAAGTAGAACCTGTCAGGCACAGAAAGTGAGTAAGAAACATGAAAAATGAGAAGATGAGCAAAATGGCTCGCCTCACGAAACCGTTTCTCAGTTAAAAGTCAATGCTGTTTCAACGCGCGCCCGAGGCTGTCCTACTTTAACAGTTCTCGGAGGAGCGGCTTCCGACTGTAAAGGGAAAACATGATCTGATCGATCACAATTGCAGGAGTTGTCGATTGAGGTTCGTCTGGACAGCCTCGAGCTTGCACAGTCTACCTTCAGCAGGTTATCGGGCAGAACGGACGGCACGCAGTTGGCCGCCTAGGCCTCCTGCGGGTACTGGTAGCCATGCTCATCGGACCAGTGGGAGCACGGCCAGCGTGTCGAGCAAGTGTGAGATAGAAATTATTAGTGACAATGTTGGAAGCGTTACGAGTGAAGTCTTGGGAGGTCGATCCGCATTGACCTGCAATAACAAAACATCGAAACACGGCGAGCCAAGTTCCGGGTACCGTGAGACGGACACATCTTCACATTTCCGGGTCCTGCCATTTGGTACTGCTGTGGGAGGGTCGGCTGCAGCGGGCAACATGCTGGCTCACAAGGGGATGACACAGAAGCCTCGACCTGACATACTTGTGCACTTATGAGTGCGTGTCATCCGCCTCTAGCCACTTTCAGGAGCTCATGTACAGACCTGGTTAGTAGGAAAGCATCCCTGCCCAGCATATGAGATGAAAAAGTTGTTGACCACGCGGCAGGGGCCACGCGGAGCCGGTATGACGAAGGCCAGCGAGGGCTCTTTGGGTCGGATATCTGAGAACGAGGTATTAGCGTCGACTCACCCCGCAAGAGCTACTCTGTGGTGCTGTAGAAGTGGCGACCGGCCACACGTGAGAATTGGGAAAGGGAGCGCCCAGATGGGTGCAGCACACATCCTTGCAGCGTTGTTGACGACGGGATGGCTACATTGCAGAACAAATCCAGAGAGGCGGGCACAAGTCATGAGAAAGGGGCTTTACTCTCACTGCGACTCTCCTCACGGAGTCAGACCTCGGTAGACCATTTGCTTGCAACCCACTGTTCGCAGCACGTGCACGACGACGTCTGGTAGCACCTTCGAAAGTCTGCTGACCAGGGAATCTCGACAACGGGCTTGTTCGTTTCTCTCGACGAGAGTCGACTGAAGAGATACTTCTAGTATCATCCATCGTAGTATCTGCAACAGATAAAATCTAAACTATCACAGCGGAACAGTACCAACCATTTCCCATACTCATACGAGGTCCGATGCGGCCAGTTCTCTGAGGTTCGATACCGGCACGCTCTTCAATAGGGGCCAATGCTGGTAGACGCGAGTCTACCCTTGTGGGTGTACCACTAACCGAGCATGTCTCAGGGCTCAGAGGGTCACCCTGCTCAACCGTTGTGGATTGAGAAAGCTCTGGTGTAGTCAAGTCCTGAAGAACCAAAGGCGCATCTCACAGTCGTCGAACACCGTAACCTCACTCTAGGCAGAGATGGCCCTAGGTCGAGTTCCATGCCGGATGACTCATCGACCCCCAAGAGTGCGAGCTGAAGACTCTCAGGATACCACAGGTTGGGGATTCTGTCGCCGATCTGACGAGAAAATTCACGAGGTACATAAGGAATTGTCTCCTCACACAGCCGTAGTCTTGATCGGATAGTGCGATCCCCCCAAAGTGTGGCCTCTCGTCGAGGTCAGTAGCAGTGACGGTTGAGGACATCCGAGAGCACGAGGAAGCGCTGATATCACCAAGGAATTTGAGGCGATCCTCGACACTAAAAACTGTTGACAATTACACAACGTGAACGATGCATCATCAGTCATCGACCCGACCAGACTGAGTCGGCGCCAAACTTCGACTGTCAGAAGCTAGAAATTGCAAGTGACCGGTCGTACCATCAAAGCTAACACAACTGAGTGAGCGAGCAGCAGAGTATCATAATAGCGATCAGTCGTTTTTCGACCATAGCTTAGAACGAAAGCTCAATTCGTATATCGTCAGCGCGTATAACAAGATACAGTGAGAGGAGAGGGCTACCTGACACTACGTAGAATAACTCTCACGGCTCACTAAAATACACCTCAAGAATAACATGACCCAACGGCAGAGGGCGCGAGCAACGACGGTCATCCACCACCAGAAGGCAGCTTCGGTCCACCATAAAAACGCAGCTACAATATCACGACCAACTATCTAGACTACTGCAAACTGATACAATTACCATTCTCACGGAATCACCCTCGGATAGAGCTTCTGCAGAACGCTCTATCAACTGTGATAGCCAATATCACAGCAGGATGTATAATAGTCACGGGGAGATGGTGGAAACGGAAAAGAGATGACAATACGAGAAAGTCAACAACAGAGGACTGGAAAGGGGCTATCCAGAATAGCTCTAAGAGCTTCTTGACAATGGGAACGACGGTGAGAAGATACTCGAGGTCATGCCACACATACAAAGAATGAGCCCAATCACAGACCACGCATCTGCTGATAACTTCACTTCAACTAGTTCTAACTCAGAAAAGCCGATGGCCATCGATCTGACAGCAACACTACTCGAAACCTAGTCAGCCGAGAAAGCTACTTGGCTACCTTTTTGATCAGGTCATCGCCATGAGGGAAGTCGACAAACCACTATTGTTGAAAAGTATGAAGGGTAGAATAGGCTGACGGCGGCGTGAACACCTGGCCACACGGGGCCCGATGGGGAGGGAGACTTATACGTTCGTTCGACTTACCGCATGCTCTCGAGGAGCCAACGTTTGGACATGTGATTGGTTTTCAAACTGACTTTGCCATGGCACGGTGGCGCGAGCGAATTTCACTGGTCTCCCGTTGACGAGAAAGATCGGTCTTAACCTGCGCGACCAACAATTACGGTAAACTGCCATAATGAACTAGCACGAACGGTTGCGGACCTGCACCTTACGGTAGGCGTTTGACGTACTCTGGATTATTCTCAGTAGACACGACCTTCTTGCTGTAATGACTGAGGTTCTCATAGAAGCCCTGTATAGCAGCAGGGACGATCTCGACCACCTTCCTTGATCCGAAGTTGCCCAGCACTCGGCCCTGAAGACAACTTCAAATTATCAAATGCGATGCGGCCAAACTCACAGCATAGAAGTTGGCAAAACAATTGGCATCTTGAACGTTGGTGAAGTTGATGAAGCAATAACCAGCATTAGCCATGGAAACACGATCTGACAAACGCGCGGTAGTCCGACAGCAACATTTCTCCCTCACCGATTGGCAGGTAGAAGAAATCGAACTTGCCCGCAAAGCCCGAGGAGGAAATTTCTTGGATCAGCTCTCCTTGAGTGTATCGATTCGGAATGTTTCTAACAATAGCACTCTGACAAGAATATGTCCAACCATCATCGTTTCGCACCTCATCATTAGAGTAGTGACACTCGCCCGTGGAGAGGGGAAAGTCTTAGCTGTAGCATGAGACTGAAAAATGCGCAGCCAGTTCGTAATGAGGTCCCCGCCGTGGAACACTCACCGGCGGAGCAGTATTCCCCTCAATGAAGCTGTGATCAGCAAGTCTGTTGTGTCTCCCTTCCTCATGCTCCAAGTGCTTGGGCGTCCCCTTGAATTAGCTGAGCACTTCCCGTAACAGGCTGAATGATGACTCCACATCGATCTACTGAGGGCCGATATAAAACACATCACCATTTTGCTTCTGACGGGCGGCATTGTCACGTCGGGGTCTACAACGGCGTCTGCCACTGCTCCGAGTCGGAAGGTCGTACCTCTCTGGCAATCTCTCCCGGCCAGAGGCCTTCAGGGTCACCTGACAAGCTGAACTGAGAATGCAACGCTCTTTATCGGCAGCCGTGGTACATCGACAAGAATGCGGTTTATCAGGGCTTCCAGCTCTACAGCATCATGACCACATTGCTGCTTCGCTTGTGGCATCAATAGCGGCTGCTGAGGTATGGTATCCCACAGCCCAGTATCCATAGGGGACAACACCGGACTCTGCTGTGAAGACACTGTCGAGTTCTCCGAGATATCATCCAACTGACAGGACAGAACTCCTCTGGAGTGAGCTGAGGACAACTACCAGAGTGTCGACCCAAGGTAAGGACATCTCTGAGCTTTGAAAGTCGACGGGGAATGAAGGCGGCTGCATGAACAATCGGCAATCTTGAGAGCCTTCTATTGTAATCGCACAGCAGTATTCAGCGGACGACTAAACGCTAGAGACGCTCGAAGAAAACCTCGCCAATCACTTGCAAACCAAAACCAGATGTCACTAATGCAGCAAGGTGAGGAAGATAAACTACTTGTGATAGCGATGAGACTGCAACATATCAAACAGTATCATGATACTCGAGACGAATTATGAAGCCCACTTCTGAGAAGAGTACGAGACACCCATCCACCAACACCGCCGGAAGAACTTCTATGAGAATAGGAGTATGTGGCGGACGGCATATAGCACCTTAACGACTAGGAAACTACCGCGCAGCAGCAAGATGCTGGGACATTCGAGCACTACAATGCATTGACAGCGCGGTCACCATAATAACTAGGACGGCGCAATCGCAATAGGGAAAGAAGAAATGTGGTGATATTCTCATAGCGCAATGACCGCTCGTCAATGTAAATATAACATCAACCGACACATCGCTGAACAGCACGAACACGAGTAGTAAACGAGCAGTAGCAGCAGCAGTATGAGCAGTGAAATCCTCGCCGTAGTAATATAATAGGGGAATTGCACTACAACATAGGCAGAATGACGGATTCAATGGTGAGAATAGATAGTCGGATACAATAACCTGAGGCCATGACGAGAGTATGAAGACCAGAACAACACGCCAACTGGGTAAGCGGACAGCAAATGTTTCCCTAGTTCACCTCAATATGATACTTCTCTACCTACTCTCCTACGGGCTCGAGGTCGGACCAGCATCAGCGGAAGAAGCTGCCCTGTTAACTGAGATTATACACGAACTGCCTCAAGTATATAGACATTGGTCTCACCGATAGTCGACGGATGATCACCATCTAGGAATATTGGAAAGTCGGGAGATTGGATCGGGGGAGGACCGTCTGAGGCCTCGTTAGAGGTCTTCATCCAGCGGAACGTCTCCTGGGCATCATTGAACCCAAAAGGAGCGTAACGCTCCCCCATCAGTCTCTCCTCGCCTGAACTACACAAAGCGGGGTCGCCGAATCTCTCATGTTTATCATCGACTCACATTGGATTATCTCCAGTACAGTGGCAGGCGTTCTTGAGAAGAGCCCCGCTATTAGAGGCAAGACCGACTCGATTCTCCTTGTCGCTCCTCTCAGGGCTGGAACACGCGGATCGCTGTCTGGACCTACCAGAAGATGCCACTCATGGCACGGAGACCTCTTACGAATGCCTCCCTATCTCTCTTGGTTTTCGTAATGGAACGCGAGTGAAAGAAAGTCGATAGCCATCAACCAGGAACAGTGGACGGAACCTGACAGGGAATTATGTGACTACAAAAAACAATCGCTCTGCTAGTAATTCAAGTCATTAATCGGCCTCACTCTTCCTTCGAGTCAGTGGAGACGGCCTTCTTGCTGTAGTGCAATAAATTGGCATCGAAACCTTGCAGCTTAGCGGGCACAATTTCTACGATTTTCTTCGACGTTGACATGTTCAACTGCTTCCCCTGAAGGATCCAACCTCCATCACATTGCCTCTGGCGGCATCTCCTCACGCTGAAAAGGTGTGTGAACAGTGAAGCCACTTCTGGCGTTGTAAAGTTGATGAAGCAGTAGCCGAAATTAGCTCTAGTGCTGTGATCTGAAGCGGCACAATATGGGCCACTACGGACGAGAGCAGCAATTTACCCATGGGGAGGTAGAAAAAGTCAAATGTCCCACCAAATCCGGTGAAAGTTACCTCGGCGATCAGCTCGGCCTGCGTATACCGATTTGGGATGTGTCTGGAATGGACAGATAGTCAAGCATAGTCATTTCGAGCAACATTCACCTCATCATCACAGTCGTTATTCCTTCATGAGAGCCGACCTCGCGAGATGCCTGAAATAACAAAGAGTGGGCATCTGGGCCAAATGATCTGCCGAGCATTCGTATCTTTGGAAGATAAGAGGCATCACTCAACTGGAGTGACATCACCCAGTTCGCCTTTCTTCCATCTGGTGATGCTCTCGGGTTCTCCGCCTGCGAATGGAACTTGCTCGTCGGAGCCGCTCCCCTGGGGTGGGGCAATGCAGTCAAAGCAAGAGAACGCGGTCCACGATCGCTATGTTGTACGATGCAGCTCCGAGTGCGCTGATCACATGCACACCATGGTCCGGGATCTACCGAGGGCGCCGCAGCTAAGAGCAAGAACGGATACTGCTCATCGCGGGAAACACTCACACCACTGTGTATCCTCCTCGAAGAGACCGATTTCCCTCTGGGATCACTGGAGAGTCGACCTCGACTGTACCATGCGAAGCAGTGAGACGATAGGCGGTGAAGATGTAGGCAGATGGGCTTTACCTGGACGACGGCCTGCAGCAGCAAACCTCGCCTGCCGGTTGCTGAGGCTGTCGCGCCCTTCCACCATGAGTGTCATGACTAGGCCTCATCGACGCCGCGTAAGCCACCTGCCATTCCACACTGCCTCATCATCCGGTACCCTTACATGAGATCCACCAAGGACTGCAGCACGCGAAGGGAGGTGTAGATATCTTGGAAGTCCACCTGATTAGACGCAGATGAGAGTCATTCACCTGATGGGAGGAACGAAGGAATTCCGTCGCGAATAGAAATGATCAAGACCACTCCGAACAAACGATCTAAGCCTAGCATGCACTTACACGTCCACAGGAGTCACATACTGGTGGCAGTTGGGTCAGAACGGACGAGTCGTCGGGACCGTCGTTGCTGTCGAAGCAATGATGAGGCACAGCAGAGTGGGACATTCAATCACGCAGTAGACGTATGAATCCACCTCCCACTGGGGCAATGGCTGGTCGAGCACTGATCGAGGAACGCTGACTGAACGATCTGCAGTGATGAACCCAAAGTCGCAGATCGTCATCAAAAAGAAGCAGCAGCACGAGAATGATCTATAGTCATGCGTATCTACGGAAGAGTGGAAAACGAGGTGGAATAATCAGGTAGGGCAGGGAGAAACCTGGGAACAGATTCCCGCAGATGAAGGAGCGAAATGAGCTCCTATGAGGACCCATGCCAGAGCGCATACGGCCGGTGATCGACGTTGGCCGCGAAGAACAGAGAGACGGCATTACCAACCGAGCTTGGAAGGAAGTTGTATGTGGAAAATACATTAGTGACGAGTTAGGCAGGAGAATTGACTGACTGCAGTCGATGCCTGATGATGGATACCTGCACGGGAGATTGAACAGCTCATGCTAAAATAGTCCATCTGCGGGGACCAGTCTGACTTGGGCTTACATTGATAGCGCAGATTCGAGTATCAACACTGACAAAAATGATGATGCTGAATGATAACGCGAGATTGACTGCATGGGGAACCGTCCAAGTATCTAAGGAACTCTTGGACAGGCCACTCCAGTGCCTGGCCTCAGAGGCTGACCATCAAGGAAAAATACTGGTTGGTACCTGCAATCGGCCTGCCGCAGGCCGCCTGCGATAGATTCAGCAGAGGGACTCACTCCTCATCCAGATTCCTGAAGGCTTCGTTGCCCAGGTAATGACGGAGATTCTCCTCGAAACCCTGCAGCACCGCAGGGCTCACCTCGATTTCCCACCGTGTAGCAAGTCGAAGGGACCGCCTCCCCTACAACCAAATAAGGTCGGTCCGTTATGACCTCAAAACGATCAGCGAACACCCTGTGCTACTCACATCGAAAGCTGCCGCAAACCTCTCCATCACGGAGAAATCGGAGAGATTGATAAAACAATAGCCATGATTGCAATTCCTCTTGTGGTCTGTTGACAAATGAAATTCATAACGGACCAATGTAGACATTTCAAACTTACCAAATGGCAGATAGAAGAAGTCGAATTCGCCTCCGAAGCCATACTCAATTATCTCCTGCATCAGAGTAGACGGTGTGTAGCGAACAGGTACGTTCCTGAGCAGAATTACATCATGAATAACGGGGCTAGTCGAACACACCTCATGACTACGGTGGTGATATCCGGCACCTCCGGTGGAGCCTCAAACCCCACGCCAGCAGTTCCACAGCCTCCGCAGCAGCACTCATCGTCTCGGGCCTGGTATAATGCTTCAGGGAGGAAACTCGCATGGTTGGGCACCGGGCTATCCAGTGTCATGGGGGCATCCAAATCTACAGACAACTAGTGTTATATGATGGCGATACAAAGCTCAGATGAATCATCGCTCATACGTGGCGTCGACAGATGCTCACTTGATGCTGACATGCTCGAAATAGGCACACTGACCAGATACGCTGGAATGCCTGCAGCAACAATATCGAATCTCGTAGCGTTACCTATACCCCACCAGCTTGCGATGATTCCTCCTGAGCACCTTGTTCCAAGATCGTCTGAAGTAAAGTATCGATCACGTCGAAACCCTACGAGGCGTATTAAAGGACCGAATTCGGCATAGTTATCCAAGTCCCGGCCCAGGAGAAGCCATCGGCGGACTCGGCCACTGCGCCATCTTGTGGCGACCGAACGGTGACCGAAGACCATGGTGGAAGAGCGAAGTCACCCAAGGTAGGTAGGTGAATCGACGACCCACCATCAGGCATGCTCGAGACTTCCGCAGACACAACATAGGGCAATATCGTTTCCGAACCTGAGGAACATCTGTCTGACCTGCGAGACGGTACTCGTGATGTGCTCACCCGTCTGGTGACCACAAGAGCTGCCTTCATCTACACGAGCTCGCTCCGCTCTAGGGTCCTCGGTAAAACCTGACAACTAATAAGCGGAACGCGATGTTCAGCGTCATGGCAAATACTGCTTTCAGAGCTATCACCAACCAGACGCCGTTCGCGATGATCCGGACGAGCCCCGGGGACAGGCTGGCGACCAACCGGAGTGGGAAACATACAACAAAAGACTTACAACAGCTTGAATGGCGGGTGAAGTGCATGGGAGCTCATTGATATTGGCACAACATCGCAGAGACCACAAAAATAATCACTTGTGATGGGGTGAAACACGCCGTCGAGCAGCGCAAGAGAAAATTTCACCGACATAGCTCGGATGGCGACGGCTGGCTTGCCCATGCTACTACGGTGTATTGACGAAATACACACCAGAATAGGAGTCCGCGGTCCTCCTGTCTACCAATGGAAAACTCGCGGTTTGTGCCTACTGATGCACCAGCCTCGTAGGAGTACAGAGACGAACACAGAGGTGCGGCAGGGGGCACCCAAGATCAGATAAGGAGTGAGCAAAATCGTTATGAATGAAAGAGATATGTTATGGAAAAACAGGAGTCAGTATTCTACGACTGACGGATAATCAAAAGGTGAAGCAGGGAGTTCAGGAGGAAAAGACCGAGTCTACGAGTGACTCTCTACTGAGCAAAATTCACTATCACAATCCACTACAAGACGAATATGACATACCACGAGATCTCCTCAACCCACCATCGCTCTTAGTGCGGCGATGGCGGTGATGAACAACGGGAGAATGATCATCGTTTGGCAACGATGACGTTGGCGAGATCACCCCCGTCGGGCGGAAGGCCGGCGGTCCTTTTTCTTTCTTATAAGAGGCTTTCCTGACACATCATACGTTACATACCATCAATCGAACACTTCGCACATACCAATCACTGTCATCTCCAGCTCGAGTCTCTTCTGAGCTAGATTCCCCAGCCATGACGAAAGCAATGTGGTTCGTGTTGCCATGCCGAGTAGACCCGCAGCCGCCGCTCGCCACTACTCGACTTTCTCCACTGTTTTTGCGCACAAACTCTACCGCAGCGCCGTGAAGCCAGAACAGAGGACGGAACCTATTGAAGCGATGGAGAGACGAACATAATAAGTCTGGCAAACCCGTAACTCACTGAATCTCTACGTCAGTGCACACAGCCTTCCGAGAATAGTGTTTCAGATTCGCTTCGAAGCCCTGTATCGCTGCAGGGACGATGGCCACGATTTTGTTAGAAGTGAAGCGTCGAAGTGGCTTACCCTGAGTCAACCATTGCTATCAATTATTCTGGTACAATCAGAAAGTCATCGACTCACATCGAAGGCTTTAAAGAAGTTATAAGCCTGCTGAGGGCTAACCAGGTTGATGAAGCAGTAGCCAAAGTTAGCCCGAGTCTCGTGATCTGGAACGCTCACAGAGTCAACGAGACATTGTCGCGAACAAGCACAGGTCTACCCATCGGTAAGTAGAAAAAATCGAACAAATCAGCGAAGCCTGCCGCGTTGATGTCGCCGAGTAACTCCTCCTGGACGTACCGGTTCGGAATGTTCCTGGATAGATTCAAGCCCTGCGATGTGAGGCGACCATCTCACCTCATCATCAGTGTTGTCGGCAGTTTGAGCAAACGTTCCGAGAGAGCGCATACGCAAGGTGAGGGGTGTCCGTGCCGCTCAACCGCTCGCTGACGAACTTGATGGACCTGGCCCAGCCATTCCAAGACGCGTACTAGAGCCCATTGCCTACCATGTGGGCATTACAGCCAGATGACGATGTGCTGCCGTACCCAGCGTGATGGAGATGCGAACCACGGCTCACCCGCTGTGGTCCGTCACGGTGGTTCGGAGGTAGATTGGGCTCGACTACGCTGATGTAAAAGTTGTTGCACATAGTTGACGATGAATCTGACAACCGGACTCAAGTCCACGCGCTTCTCTCCATCGATAAGCACCTTGAGGCGCGATACCAAACGACTGTGGTGGGACCGGTCCAGCCGCCCAATGGTTGGGAAGATAGGCCTGCTGATGATGACCTCAAAATGAAACCACATAGCCCGACGGCCTCCAGGGACTACATCCCACCTGTAGGGCAATTCCCACCGAAGTCGATGGCAGGCCTGCCATATTGAGAAGACGATGGAGTACCTCGGAAGGGAATCTCGTCACTGTAGTATAGTAGGAACACTGCTTACACTGAGCACATGAGAAAACTTGTGTGCTAGTCTGAGATGGCGGGCCGTGGTAGCCCGTAACAGCCCCAGGCTGAAAAGAAGGGCTAGGCCGCCAACCTGAGCTTCACTCCTCACCATATGGGCTTGAACAATATGGGGCGGCTGGCATGCATTTAGCGGCAGCCATGGTTGCGGTGAGTGCCTTGTCCAAGGTCCGACAGGTCCGAGAGAGCTCTCTGAATGTTGCCGAGTCCCCTCTGCTCGGTTACAGAGGTACCGCAGAGCCTCATGTTGGGCCTCATAGACGTCTTCAGCACATCTATCTCGACGGCTTTGAGCGCGTGCCTGACCACTCCAGCTTACCAGACAATCGAGCAGACGCAACAGCAACGACCTACTCCGGGAGGGCTGGGGAGGAGGGAAGTCCTCGACGTGTCACGGATGGCAGGCCCTCTACGGTCCATAGTCTCTCCACGTAAACTGCGTACAAGGCAAGCTCAGTCTAGGAGCAAGATCAGACTAGTACACACAGCTCTAAAGCTAGAGGTGCAGCCATGCATCAAGCCTTTAATTAACAATTTACAACTCAAAAACGGGTACATTCAACTTGACAATAAGCTTTGACCCGGACAACCCTAGTCCCTCCCTCGAGGCCTTTCAGTCAGAGAAATGAATCTAGACTGATCTCCATCTCCACGTTGCAGGAGAGAAGACCCTAAAATCCGACGAGTCGAGCAGAGAGGCTTTCAGTAACCGTGCCGCCAAGGCGCAAGTGTATGATGTCTTTCTTCAAATCCAACTTCTTCTCGGTCACGGAAAGTCGTCGCTCATCCTCATCCCTGATCAGCTCGTCAAGCCTGAGCAAGAATCTGCCTCATACGAGACACCACACAGCCAGTCTGAGGACCTACACTTACCCGATGATGACCGCACTAGATGCTCCCAACAGTACGCATTCCTGGTGAGCTACAGGCTTGTCCAACGCAAAACAGCACTACATACCCTACGACAAGAGCCTACACGTGGAACCGTATATCTCAAGCGACTATGAGTCGACTCCTACGTCAACCTACAGTCCTACACCGATGAGAAAGCGAATGAGTCTCACGGACCCACTCCGTGACCTGACCAACGCCGCACTGTCTCCGCGCATCGCCGATGATGAAGGGATGATCGGACCAATTCTGTGGATGACAGGTCGTAGTGTATGACAACGTAGCCTCTAAGATCCACAACAAACGGTGGAATAAGTCTACTAGAATGTCAAGTGCGTTTTGAGATGATATCATGAGAAGAATCTTTCATAGAGCGTAGACGTATTTGCCAGCTCGTCTCGACAGGAATCTTTCAAAACGGTTTGACAGGATGCACGATTGCAGTAAGCGATTCTCTAGGGCCCATTTCACAAGGACTTCTGGCCCAAGGCGTCCTTAGGTGTACCTTACGTTTAGGTGGACCTAGTTAGGTGCCTTGCTGATTTCATATCAGATGCGCCTAACCTTTGTGAAAGAGCCTACCCGCTATAAGGTGCAGAAATCGCCTAGCGCCTTACGATTTTCGTGCCTAACCGAGGCTTGTGAAATGGGCCCCCGACGTGTTCAAACCTTCTTCACTCCACCTGCAGAATGTCTGTCCGAGGTCCGCTACCCCCGATCGATTTTTGTGTCGATTCCGAAGTTCATGAGTTTCGGGCCCACCAACAAACTGGCCTCTTTTATCGTTCCAGACCGTATGCATTAGTTCCGCTCAGTGGCTCCTTCTCTCTGATCATCATCCACTAGGTAGCAGCAAGAGATGTTCTAGGGGAGTTCAGCGCTGGACTTGTGAGGACTATGAACATACTTATCATGCATGCAACTCACCCTCTTGTGGTGCAGTATAATCCTCATATGCTTTCACCTCCCTGTCATCCTTATTGGATGGCTTGGATGATCTCATTGCTAGCCCACCTAACGAGCTACATGGGCAACCTATTGTCTTGGCGGATCACATGCGACGATGGTGAGCTACTCTCTATCGACCCGCCTGAGCGATATATCTGTATAGCTGCGATCCGGGAGGGACCTCATCAGAACCGAAACGGGTTTCCCTCAACCAAATAATTCCATTAGTTGACTCGAAACTCTGTCAAAACGGGTCTCCATTCAGTAAGTTCGCAACTCCGTCAATTCTACGTCACTGGGCCAAAATGGTATCGCATCACTAGCGAGCGTTCACGTGCTCTCGCAGCAGAGGCATATGGACGTGGTGTATTGCCCATACCAGTGAAAATATCACAACAAATGGAGCCCAATCGGTGACACGATCATCCCTTGGGAGTAATTATCAGTTCTCTCCCCTAAGACCAAGCCCGCCACATTGAGCAACACCCTTCGGATCCCCTTGCCATAACCGACCGAATGTGCAAGCTTCCCAATAGACCTCTCAGGTGATCAACATGGCTATTGTTCAGAGCTTCGGTCGGGGCACTGGTTGACTCAGAAGCCGTGAGATAAATGAGCAGAAAATGATATTGTTAAACACTTAGTATTTCATGCTAGTGTTTCATTTCATTTCCGAGTTGTTTCATGACGAGTTTCTCGTGGCAGTTTCAATAAAGGAAGGCTGGACTGGCGCTTGTCTCTGTGCAACAGCACGCACAGACCGCTAATGCCATTCAGAGTGGCTCGCCCTCAACGTACCTCCGCCCGATCAATGGGAGATACTCATCGGGCCCATCCATTTCAACTACTCAGAACTCAACACATCTCAGCATAGCCAGACAACATGTATTCGATTAACCGGTGAGAACGCATGACCATTGGTCACACTGAATCATGGATTCAGAATCAATCACTATCATCTTCATCTTCCTCATCATTTTGTGACACTGAGGCGCCACTGCTTGCCCTTTCCGAGCACAGTTGCTTTATGAACTTGCTGCTGCGCTTGACGAAATCTGCAGGGTTCGGGCCATCCTTCATCCCAATTTTCGAGAATATACGTCTGACGCCAGTACGACAGTCGCTGACGTCTCCCTTCCCCGTTGCGACGCTACCCGTTACTTCTAGTGGGCTGAAGGCAAACATAAAAGAATGCAAACGATGATAACGGTACCTCGTTCCAGGATAAGGGCATGTTGATTTTTCCTTATTGACCTTGTAGACAAGCTCTCCGGATGAATGACCCTCCTCAAGCTGGAAATAGATACGACTTTCCCTGCCATAGAACTTCGACTTCACGAAGCAGCCACTCGGTTCGTCGGGATCGGGGAAAATCTGAGCGGTAGCAACTCCACCTCAACCCCTAGATGTCACTTCTCACCGCCAGTGACACAGGATTCCATCGGTGGCTTTGAGCCTTGGTGATCAGCTTCTTGATAGCCCTATGCTTCACCCGAACAGCTTCAGACGAGCCGAGTAGGAGCAAGATGTGAATGGGTTTGAACGATAGCATCATCAAAGGTGTAGGGTGCGGGGTGAATGAACGTAACTGATAAAACTTGAGGGACCACGATGTGTTCCTTGTGGCGGGCTGAGATGCTATGTGCTCTCATAACATTCACTAGAAGAAGACTTCCGGACCTTTCTCTTGTTCTGCGATCACTGCACGAAAATGGTGAACGAAAATCGTTTCGCTCCGCTATGAGTGAGCGCGCGCCATGAAAAATTAATATAACTTGCGCACTTGCGCAATCTTACAATTACTCAGTAAAATATCGTAATCGATCGCGCTAAACCTTTCTTGGCGAGGAGTGTGATTCTCCATACTAGTACCAGCCACTTTTCCCAATGGCCCCTAAGAAAGCCCCTAAGACTGAGGAGCCCCTCCAACTTGGTCCCCAGGTCCGTGAGGGTGAGCTCGTGTTCGGTGTTGCCCACATCTACGCTTCCTTCAACGATACTTTCATCCACGTCACTGATGTGTCCGGTCGCGAGACCTTGGTCCGTGTCACTGGTGGTATGAAGGTGAAGGCCGATCGTGATGAGTCCTCTCCCTACGCTGCCATGCTTGCCGCTCAGGACGTCGCCGTCAGGTGCAAGGTAAGAAAACATTAGCATTTCTATTATCGCTTCAACTCGTTTGAGACATGCATGTCGAATTGTCGTTTTCAGGAGCTCGGTGTCAACGCTCTTCACATCAAGCTGCGTGCCACTGGTGGTACCAAGACCAAGACCCCCGGCCCTGGTGCCCAGGCTGCCCTCCGTGCCCTCGCCCGTGCTGGTATGAAGATCGGCCGTATCGAGGATGTTACCCCCATTCCCACCGATTCCACCAGGAAGAAGTGCGGTCGCCGTGGTCGCAGGTTGTAAGCTGCTGACTTCTGCAGCTTGCTGCCTCTGTTGGTTCTGTTTGTATGGTTGTCGTTATAACGACTCTGGCCCGTTAGTTCTCACTGTGCAAGTGCTGTACTAGTCGCACGGGACGATTCGTTTATTACGGCTGGCTTTCTATTGGGAACCTGGAAAAAAGAGGTCTAGTCTCATATGCTTTGTGTTGTCACTGTTGGCCGGATGGGGGAAAGAATGATGATAGTAATAATTGTCTAAGGCCAGTACTTAATCAGTACCGATTCATTGGGATTGAGACTCGGTCACTGAGTGATGTCAAATCTGACTCACGCGTAAGCAGTTGATGATTATGTTGAATTGTTTCTTTTGAACTGTTACCTCTGGGAATGAGAAAATCGTCCTATTCTAAACAACATTCGCTCATTGACTCTTTACCCCCCTCAAGTGACAGGCAACGTTTTTACCATTCAATGGTAAGAAGCATCAACACTCATAAAGAAACTTGATTTGTTAAACTAGGTCAAGTACCAATCCGCATTGGCAGCGCTGCTCCGCTACGTCTTCTGTAAATCACGGAATAATTGAGGTTAGAAGGGTCTCTCTCATCCTACCACTCGTGGGAGGAAGTACCGAAAAAGGCGGAGACATGCACGGTCGTTACACTCACCACGTGTGATTCAGACTGTGTCTCGGAGTGTCCTTCCCTCTAAGGTTCGTTCGTTCCGAACCACCCTACCGGTTCGACACTAGCAAGAGTGGTGGTGGAATATTAAACACAACAATCGTTCAGTACACAGTTCATCGTCGTCTACCAAATACAACACCTCGATGACCCTCACGTCTTTCTATTCTGTCATCATGGTGTGACGATCGACTTCTAGATCGTTGTCTACTACGAGGACTTTTCTTCCTCGGCGATTTAGTCAATGATTTCCTCCCCCGATCACGGCCTGAACAGAAGTCCTCGTCAGATCAGAGGTAATACAATCGACCAGCCTGAAGCTCACCAGTCGCTGTATCGACATCCACTTCTTTTGCGTCCTTAGCCCAAGCAAGGAAGTCGCTTATGCCCGCCACACGATTGTTCTGAACCCTTTTCCGATCTTCAACGGTGGTATACTTCTTATAATGGTCTTCAAACCGACCGCTCATAAACGATCGATACGGCCGGTGTTCTCCCCGACGATAAAACTGCTCCCTGGCACACACATGTGTAAAAGGCATAAAGACAATCAACAATACCTTTTTTCTCCACTTGTACTCCGCAGTCTCTGATCGCCTTCTCTACTCGGGACTCTCGCTCTCAACCGAGGACTATCATGATCCTAAACAGGGTTCTCTGCGGAAGTACAGGTGAGATGAGAATGATACCCTATTGCCTATGTCAGCAGTGGTGAGCTCACGAGACCGCCCACGACGCCTTCGATGGCCATCATCATCACTATCCTCATTATCACTCGGCAGGAGGTCTGCATAATCAGGGGATGATCGCCGTCTACTCGGAGATCCTTTGCGCTGTACCTTAAGTTACAACATCGATAAAGTACTATGGAAGGTTCGCTTTCCACGAACGTTCACACGGCGGTAAAATATTCTCATGAAATCAACCACTTCATGGGAACTTGCTGGACTCTATATTATGACCCCAGTAGTACCACGATAGGGTTCGCTTGCTCTCCCGACCTCTTCCTGGGAGGATTGAGTAACTTCCAAGACGGTCGTCGGGGTCCTCTCCGCGACCGCTCTAGGGCGTAAATATCCTCCTCGGTGACCAACTCATCGTAACCACTCAATGCCTCACGATTAACCTAAACATCACCAAGCTGTGCCCAGAACCAGCGTATGATGAGCGTTCCCATGATCAATTCGGTCCAAACTCATAAGTTATCTATGAGGAAGTTTTATTCCAGAGCCGGACTGACTCCGATTCATTCGGTTAAACAAAATGACTAGGAAGGCACAAACACTCTATCAAACCATCAACTACATTTCCTCAGACCATAAGCATCCACAACCTCATTCAGTATTGTAACAAAACAACCCCCAAATTTACCTCCACTCGCGACGAAGGCTCTGCCTTATCCTTCATCGATGAATCAATGCATTCAGGAGCTTTCACCTCGGCATTCAGCTCCTTAGAGGGCTCCGACATAATATCAACTAAATGGGATTTGATGACAATACTAGAGAGCGTCACGACAGCAGCGACACTATCCTAACCGATTTCACCCCGGTCTTAGGACCCCCGTACTTTCCCCTTCATACGACTAACTCAAACAAACAAAACTCGACTGTTGAAACGTGAGCGGAATATTTTGCGGTAGTAGCATTAGGATGGCCAGCTTGACAGAAGTAACGAAATATAGATACATCTCGACACCTCTTAGAAAGAGTACAACTCCTCCTTCTGAAAAACACAGCAAATATCATCAACAATTCATCAGCTCGAGAGCCCCATTGACCACAAACGCTAAGCACCCCCATTACAGGTTTCCCTTGTTCGACCTCCCTGGTCTCAGTGAACGTAACAGTCTCTCTTGATGCAGCCAAGCGCTTGAAGCCCTACACGAAATGAATGTGAACCAGTAACGGAAAAATAGGACGACGAGCCTACCTCCTCCCAGTCGTCACAAGCCAACGATTTGCACATCTCCGTACGGTACTCTTTGAGATCCTTCAGCATAGACCTACACCACAACACACTCTATGTCCAGCCCACTCCCACGTCTAAGGAGCCCACCTGAAGTCGTTCTGTATAGCCTTCTTATCGGCAACCGCAGCCGCACGCTGTTGACTAGCAAAGTCGCGATCACCAGCCTCGTATTGGGCACTATACTGCTTGTAGTCTTTCCTTATGCTCGCGACCTCCTTCTCAGACAACAGTTGTTTCGGGTGAGGCCTCCAGTCCGAGAACCACAAGCTCTCTTTCGGACACTTATACCTATACATCAAAATCATCGTCATCAAGCCAACCCTTCCACTTCTGCTACATAAGACGACCCTGGAAACTCCAGATGCAGAAACCGCTCTCCTGAGCATTCCTGTAACCCCGACCAGCTGCGCTCTCGAAGATGTTCTGAGTAACTGCTGTTAGGAGATATCTAATACGGAGAGAATGCGAATACAATAAGGGAACTGCCGAAGACCGTTCACCTTCCGCTGGGATCCCAAGAGACATGATTAAGCATGAAGTGCTCATCAGTGTTGTGGATATCAACCTTATTCTCGGGTGTTAGACATCCAAAGACGATCTCGCCGCTAGACTCGGACCACATGACCCAGTATCTAAGGAGCGTACAACCTAGCAATGGAGAGTTCATGGTCAAGGGCACTGCTACCTTCCAAAGGTGTTCCACTTGAAAAGATGCATGTAGTTGGTCATTTTATACTCAGCAACCTTTTCAACAGTCGCAGGGGCTCCAATCATCGTACTAGTAGTCTTCACCTGACATCATACAACAGTCCTACACACTACTAGGTGACCCCGTTACCTCATAGAACCATATCTGAGGATCACGTCCTTCAGAGTTAGTGTTGATCACTGCGAGTCTATTACCATGAGGTTCCCAATGAACCTGAACGAGAGACAAGATCAGCCGCATACTACACCTCAACGCTCGACACTTACGGCCTTCACAGATCTATTCTTCAGCTCAATCTTCTCAGCAGGGCAACCCTTCTCATTAAGACGGAAGATCTCCAACAGAGGGTTCCTACATAGCACAACGCAGGTCCTATCTAACACCGGGTTTTCCAAAGACCTTACCCAGTCTTGCCGCTCTTAGAGACACGTAGGACGTTAGTCGCCACATAGTCACCTTGGGGGTGCCAGAAGATGTCGGCAGGACGACTGTTGTCAATCTACAGTAACATGCTCAGATGATGAGATTATCAGATCAGCCAGTTTCCTCACCTGGAATGCATTCTTAGCAACGATCTCCTGGAAAGGACTCTTCTTCTTAGATTCGAGCAAGGCAAATCTAGCGGGAGAGTTAGCGCTCTCAGGGACCTGAACTCTCCACATATTCGGCTGCTATTCCCATGGACGATCTAGACTAACATACCCAGACGGCTAGGATATCCCGCTTAGCAGGGCACCATGAGATGGCCGTAATCCCGGGATACTTCAACACTTCCTTCATCTCCATTGAAGGTGTTTCATAAATCATCCTAAGAGAATACCCGTGACCGTCCCCACTCGCCGAATCAAGGACCTACACTCCATTGTCCAACCTCTTAGCGAAGAAATCCCCACTTTGAGACCACATGTACATCGGAATCTAACAAAAATGAGAATCGATGTTGGCATACCTAGAACACTGTCGAATCCTCACCGTGCGCCTCCCTCTAGGTGCAGCAGCAGGAGCAGCTCCAGGAGCCGAAGCACTGGGCTCAGGAGGAACGATAGGATCCTAGAGAACATCCATTCGGGGAAGGATGCAGGGCTACTCTTCATATCATTACCGCAACCGCAGCAAGCTCTGGCAAAGGCATAGTTCGCTTGCATTCCCCCGTGAAAAGATCGAATATTCGCACAGCCGAGAGATCAGCATGGGACGGATTAGTACCGTTCCAAGTCATCATGTATCTATACTCACCGTCCCTCACCGAGTCCAAGTAACCAGTTTCTCACCTTTCGTTGTTGGTGAAAATGACACGTCGAACTCTGGCGTGTTCACATTGGATCTTCTTCTCAAAGTTCTCTCCACCCCAAAGATTCACACCAGGGTTATGGAAGGTGACCAGAAAGGTTCCTCTGGGACTCCAGGCGACATTAGAGTCCGTCCACACCTTACGCTGGGCCCGCTCCCGAGCACCATCGTACTGGATGACGGGTCCGCGCTTGTCGAGATGAGTGTACCATGACACCTCGGTCTGCTTCTCATACCTAATACACAGTTATGAATCACCCAGACCAGGCGGTCCTCTAGCCGTGCCTTATAGCGAGCATCTCCCTCCATTCCTTGTCTAACATCCAGTCTCTGGTGTCCTTAAGAGTATAACCGGCCATCAAACGACTATGCTGGAAATGCTGAGAGGGAGCCGACCATGTCCCGCCAGGATGCCTCAACAATGCTTACATCAGTGGACTCCTCACCCTCGTCTTCCTCAGGCATCGTACCATCATCATTGCAAGCAAGTACCTCATCTCTGTGATCAATAGCGAACGTTCGCAGTACGTTAGACTTGCCGAAATGGTAGCGATCGAGTACCTGTCATCCAATGGCTATTTCAAACCTTCTTAACGAAGGGCTTACCTTCAGAGCTTCAGCAGCGTGGTTAGCCTTGGCAAATGTGACCACTGCAACACCATCAGTGTGGCCCTCCTCTTCGTTGATAGGCATGTAACTGACACACACCTGCGTCGCACGATAACGTCACAAATTTTGCCCAAATCTCTCAAGACTGCCATCGTCCGCCCACCGGGGGAGCATCCCCCAGTACTACATGTCAGGTTCCTCCTCGTCACAACCATCAACCTTCTTTATTGTCTTCAGTAAGACGTGTTTGAGCTTGTCAACCTTCCGTTCCTCCACCTTAGGCAAGTTAGTGATGATGATGGTCGACTGGAAGGACTCGTCTCGGGGTATCTGTCACGATAGACTAAGTATCATCACCACACAGATTCACCAACAGAAGACCATGAGCGGTCTGCGTGATAGTGATCAACACCCAAGCACTACCTGTCCATCATCGAACTCTTCAATATCGGCGTCAGAAAGGCACTCCTCCAAGTCTGTTGCTTGGCATTTAAGATCCTCCAACCGCTTCTTCTGTTCGTCACTGAGCTGGTCTAGTAGTGAAGTCTGCTCCATACCGAATATCTACACTCAACTGCGAGATTAACGAGTGATGCTGACCAGGTGGGTCCAGTCGTCTACGACGGAAATTTACCGCTCGCCATAGTGATCGATTTGACAACGAGGTTGACCTCGTCAGCTCGTCCGTGGAGACTGCTTGGGTAACCAGCCGCTCCCTCCCAAGGCACTGGTTCCGAAAAATCGCGCTAATGGTGAAAAATGGATGGGAAACCCTCTGAAACCGCTCCTATATCTCAAGTCACTAGTCCCACTGAGACCCTCAGTTCTTATAAAGTTTGGCACGACTACAGCTGCTAGCATGTGGCCACCTGATTTCACTGGTTCTGCCTGACGAGCTACGCTGCATTGCAGACCATGTTAGAGAATTTACTGAACGCTTTACTTCAACAATTGACACGGTGTTCAACACCGACGGGCTTATCGTCGGTTAAGTAGACTCTTCAGTACTTGTAAATGAGGGCACGCCATAATTTATCATCGCTAGCTTGTAATTCAGCGATTAGGTGTAACTTCGAGTCCCATTGAATGCTACCGCCAGCCTCCTACACATGTCGATCACGGCTTCACGCCCGATTGTTGTTGGGTTACCATTCACAGTGACACGTGTTGCGAGTAGTTCGTAGCTCCTACAGTGAGGCTGGTTGAACCAGCGGTCGCTTGTAGACTAAATTAGAACTGAGGAAAAAGTCTCGGGAATTGCCAGCGGTTGTTTTCCAATGGCATGTGTATTGTCTTCTTTCACGCACGGTCGGCATGCACCGCATCGAGGAGTTGGGACCAAGCCCGCACCGGGTCCTACAACAACGAGTCTCTCCAGACGGTTTAGTCGTTCTAACACGTCGTCAACCATGAGTGAGGATAACAGCTTGACCAGTGGTGGCCGTTACTGTCGAGATTTTCTCTCCTTCATCAAAGACTCAGGTGAGGACACCCCTCCGGCGCAGTGTGCATCGAGATTCCCCAGCCTTGCCAGGTCCCGTTACTAGTACCCGTAAAGCGCAGCTCGTCCTGCACCCACCACAGCTCGACTCACCTCGGGTACTCTCCCTCCTGCTAGTTCAATGCATCACTTCTTTCAGGCCAACCGACGTTTGTCTTTCCTCGATGCGAGAATCAAACATCTAGTGGCTGAGCCCAAGTCGTTCGGTGGTAGGTCTGGGCAGCGGCATCACGAATTGCCCAAGTCCCGGAGTCATGGTGAGTAGTTCGGCGAAGTGTGGTATGTTGGTGATGATGTCGCTAGGCTCTCTCGTTTTGAGAGACTGTGATCTGTTCACTACCGACTTCCGCGCGAATTTTGGCTCCAAGCCGGACCTTGTCAGCGATCTGGAGAAATACAGAAGCTCACAGTAAGTATTTCTTGGCATCATCGCTCACGTTGCTTTTCAAGTGAAGTTATTCCAGGTTTCGTAATCTACTCGATAGAACATGGCGATTTAGAGAAGAAATGCTAAACCAAGCTAATTGTCTTCGTGCCAAACCTGCTACCTTTTGACATTCTGTGCGAGGCTTGAGCCTGTGTACCATGTACTTCACGTGGAACTCGGAAAATTGGTGTTCTCTGTGGGGTGTTTTGTTCGGAGTGGCTCCTTTCGATGTAGTGCTCAAGATTGCAGCTCAAATTTATCTCACTAATTGATCTTATGAACACAGCTCCTGTGAATGCATCTGGCCCTCTGTTCGGTCTGGCTATTCCCGGCAGGCCTCTAATCACTGACTTCGTCCAAGATACCGAAACGAGGTAACAGGTAGAGGACTCTACTGCGACTCGTGATGCTCGTGGTTTCAGTTGGCATGTAGACGTGTCCAATCCTGGTAGTATATCATCGTTCTCGGTGTTCCTCCTACGACCAGTCCCCTCGGACACTGTAGGCTTGGGAGTTTACTACACAGCTACCACTGGTATGAGGAGGATATCCCTCAATGAAGCAAAGAGTGTCTACGACTCTGTTGTTTTCAGATGGTGCGGCTTTCGTTGGCGCCTTGTCAAACGCGAAGCCCACTGATATCTTTTCACCAGGCTGGCCGCTGAACCCCGATATCGCTAGCATGCCAGCAGTCCGCATTGGATTGGCCTTCGAGCCCTCCGAGGTTGGTCAAATGGCAACTAGCAATTGTTCGGACTCACTAACGCTCCTCAGACACTCTTGCCGAAGATGAGCACGGTTGGCGAATCGGCCGATTTCAAGAGGGAGTTCGCCAGGAAAGTTGCCCTAAATCTGTTCCGGTACACCCTGTCGTTGTGGAAGTTCCCGTGATGGTCCATCGCAGGTATATCGAGTCCTTCAACACGAGTGGCGGTGGTGACGCTCGGTTTATGAGATGCCCTCAGGACTTGCTCGACAGGTGGTTGCAGCGGTTTGACGATAAATATACCAAAGACCCGATGTTTGTGTTTAAGACGACTTAAGTATAATATACACCTTTCATTCACTGACCATTCACTGACCGACTGATAACTTGTGTGGTTAGTGAGTGCATAGTTTCTTCGAAGGGAGCTTTGACGAGCGTATGGGAGAACACTATGAAAACGTGACCTGTATCGTCGTTTTTAAGGCTAATACTTCTCCGATTGTGAACACAAGATGGATACATTACTACGGGCGAGGTTTGGATTGACCACAGCTCCAAACGCACAAAATATCTACATGCTAGATTTGGTGACTTGATTATCTCAGAATATAAATGTTCCAACCAACAGTGTTTTGTCGAAGGGAAGGACGAGTCGAACCTAGCTCATTGTTGGAGTGTACAGCAACAACTGAGCCTTCACTAGGAGCAACGATGCAGAACAGACTCATAGCGATATCTTCCTCAAAGCAGGATTCGAATGTGAGCTCCATATACAGCCTCAAGCTGAGGGAATCTAGCTTCGACTCAGAATGATAGTTAGCGTATTTATTGTTTGTGATCACAGTTTTCTGGTTCGTGTAGGGTGATGATGGTTGATGTGTTCCCGTTGTAGTTTTCTCTCTTCTATGGTTTCGGATAAACGCCACGCTTTAGTCATCGGAGGTGGCTTCTCCGGCATGTTCGCTGCCAACGAGCTCAAGGGTCGTTTCGACGTCACCCTTGTTGATGCCAAGGAGTACTTCGAGTACACTCCTGGTGTCCTCCGTGCTTATGTCAAGCCTGGTCATTACGACGCTCTGTCATTCACTTACCAGTCGATCTTAGAGCGCACTATGGGCATTAAGTTCCTCTGGGGTGAGGTTACTCAGCTCGACGGTGAGAAGCAAATCGCTCATGTCAAGCCGATGTTCTCCGATCACACTGAGGAGGTCGCCTTCGACTACTGCGTCATCGCCGCCGGTTGCACTTTCGGTCTCTTCTCCAAGTGGGGTGAGTCTCTCTGGGCTCCCACTGTCAACGAGGGTGCCATTGCCGAGTCTGAGTGGAAGCACATCGATGAGCGTTTCATCGAGGGTCGCCGTCGTCATATCTTCGAGGAGCATGAGAAGCTTGCTGCCCTCAACAAGAAGAAGGCCAACGTTCTCATTGTCGGCGCCGGTTTCATTGGTGTCGAGTGGGTCACTGAGCTTCAGCACTACTTCCCCAATCTCAAGCTCACCATCATGGATTTCCTTCCTAAGTGCCTCGGACCCCTTCCTCAGAACGCTGCCGACTACTGCGATAAGTACATGAAGCAGCACGGAATTAAGTGCTACTATGGCATGAAGTACGCTCCCAAGGAGCAGGGCTTCTTCGAGAAGATTGGCCTCACTGGCGAGCCTGACTGCACTTTCGTCTGCATTGGCACTAAGGCTTCCAACTGGTTCATGCCTAAGGAGTGCTTGACTGGCTACAACCCCTTGGAGGAGGACAAGAAGGAGGAGGACCCCAAGAAGCGCGGTCCCGGTGGCGGAGGATGGATTCACGTGAACAAGCATTTGCAGGTCTACAAGGTTAACGAGGATGGCTCTCAGTCCCTCTGGGGTAACGGTCACATCTTCGCCATTGGTGATTGCAATATGGTCCCTGAGCTTCCCCCGATCCCTAAGATCTCTTATCCTTCTGAGGAGCAGGCCGCTCATGCTACCAAGAACATTAAGATCTTGGACCACCTCGAGCATAAGGGTAAGTCCGTTGGCGGCTGCTGCGGGCTCGGTGGTGCCAAGGACCTCGTCACTACTTGGTGGCCTTGGGGTGCTGGTATGTTCGCTACTTCTCTCGGACCTAACAAGGCCTGCTTCGTTTTGGGTGCCAAGTCTGCTCCTGGCACTGGCCATATGGTCCTCTGGGGCAAGCTCTCTGCCATCCAGAAGGGCCTCATTGAATCCACTAAGGTCAACGAGAACAAGCGCGGCATCATTGGCAGTTGGGGTTGGCATTTCGTCCATCATACTCCTTTCATGAACTAGTTTTACCAGTACTGTATTCTATTGCTGCGGGTCTTCCCGTAGCCGAGTTTTTTGCTCGTGAAATCCTTTTCTCTGTTGGGGCCAGTAAAGAGTTGTGCACGGAAGTTTTCACAGTGAATATGAACTCTTGGATGTCGTATTCGCTTGCGGTCGTATCGAAAAAATCCCTCTGGCTTCAATGTTTCTGGACTGTGTCCTAAGCAAAAGCACAACAACTGATTCGCGGGATCATTGAATGTGATGATAGGAATGGTTATGATATACTTGTTCGAGAGGCGAGTCCCAGCCTCAAAATGATATTATGAAATAGGTATTCCGAAGAGGAGTGCTGAGGATGGACAAGTTGATATGTAGGCAACCACTCGTTATATTGACCACCAGGCATGGGAGTTGCAAATCAATGAATGCAAATCCGAACGTGGGAATGATATCTCTAGCGGTATCTCATGATATCTCTTGTGAACTTCCATGCGGTTAGTGCTTCCCAAGTTCAAACACCTCAAAGTATCCGGGGACGCAGTGTGCCTCCCGACCCAATCAGTAGTCTTAGGAGGAGCCACCTATGAGAGAGCTACAAGCCAGCCACCCATAAATGACCGCGATGAGCGGTAGAAGCGAAGAAGATGTCTCCTTTGTGTGCACCAGAGCCTGTCCATTTCGAGTCGGCTTACCTGTTTCGTCCCATAATTGAACCGTTTGGAGGAGTTACAGTACCGTTCGACATTCTAGTAGTCTCCATTATGGAGTCATGTATGAGGAAGTCATCTTAGCCTATTCGCATGGAGCTCTAATGAGAATATCATGGAAATTTGCGAGAGCCGTAATTGCGCCGTTGGTCTTGGGAGGGGGACAAATTAGCTATGCAGCGCACAGCTAAATGGGAGTGCATACATATTGCAGCTCTCAGGTAAGAATGTCTTGGTGAGAACTGTAGTTCCTTTGTCTTGGTTGATTGTCAGTGGTTGAAATGGTCTGTGTAGTAATTTAGTGGAAAGTGATATCCGTGTGGGAGTGTGCCCTGTAGGGATTGACGTGGAACATTCGAAGGCGATGTGACATGTGTGTAGTTTAGTATTTGTTTGTCTCTGATGGTCTCTGACAAGCGCCACGCTTTAGTCATCGGAGGTGGCTTCTCCGGCATGTTCGCTGCCAACGAGCTCAAGGGCCGTTTCGACGTCACCCTTGTTGATGCCAAGGAGTACTTCGAGTACACTCCTGGTGTCCTCCGTGCTTATGTCAAGCCTGGTCATTACGACGCTCTGTCATTCACTTACCAGTCGATCTTGGAGCGCACTATGGGCATTAAGTTCCTCTGGGGTGAGGTTACTCAGCTCGACGGTGAGAAGCAAATCGCTCATGTCAAGCCGATGTTCTCCGACCACACTGAGGAGGTCGCCTTCGACTATTGCGTCATCGCCGCTGGTTGCACTTTCGGTCTCTTCTCCAAGTGGGGTGAGTCTCTCTGGGCTCCCACTGTCAACGAGGGTGCCATTGCCGAGTCTGAGTGGAATCACATCGATGAGCGTTTCATCGAGGGTCGCCGTCGTCATATCTTCGAGGAGCATGAGAAGCTTGCCGCCCTCAACAAGAAGAAGGCCAACGTTCTCATTGTCGGTGCCGGTTTCATTGGTGT